TTTTTTTTTTTTTTTTTTTTTTTTTTTTTTTTTTTTTTTTTCCCGTCGCTATATTTATGTTCTAGCCCACATTCTGCCTTAATTCAGAAGGGCTGCACTAATCCTCATTAAAAGTGTTTTAAAAAGTAAAGGCTGACAGGTTGAATAAAGGCTTAACTGGTAGACCATTCAAAGTGTTGATGTATCTTCTACGGTTATAATTAATAAAATCTTAAAATTCACATTTTTTTTCTTTAGAGGTTGATTGTCTTTTGCATCAAATGAGGTAAAGTTATGTTTGGTTGTTTTTTGCATAAAAGGAGGTAACGTTATGTTTGGTTTTATTTCTATGCACTCAAAACAATTTATTTCAAATTATGACAGGGTGCTGTAACATTTTTACTGCTTATGCTTTGAAATAATTAGTGTAAGAAAAAAAGCTGATGACTCTTCTTTTGCTTTTAAATTTGCCAAGAAAATAATGTTATCTCTTTCTCTAAATTATTTAAATTAAATAACTGTATGTATATTAATATTGCGTTCTTTTGAATTTACATACATTAAAGTAAGGCTGAGCAGGGTAAAAAAAAGGAAGGTCACGGGCTCAGACGCTGCATTAAATCCTTTTTGCAGAATGACTTGGCAACTAGAATGGTTCTTTTCTTTTGTCTATACAACTGGCATTTAGCAAACGTTCCTTCTAGATATTTACCTCACTATGTACCATAAATCAAATGTCTCTACCCTCTAAAGCACCTGGATTGTCCGTGAATGTTGCGTGGTCTTCACAAATATACGCTATTAGAATTAAGACCTTGAAAAATAAGAATTATTGCAGTTAATATTTCATAAAATGTTTATTTATCTGGAATATCAGTGTTGTTAGGTATCATATTTTGCATTAACTTTGTTTTTCAATAATAATGCAATAATTGTTTTCAAAATTTTGAAAGAGAAATTGCCTTAGTTTCATTATGGGGGAGAGGGGCAGTAGAAATCTTGGAAATGAGTAATTAGTAACTAAAAGAATGCTTGAAAAGATTAATAGAATTTAGGTGTCGTACAAAGTAGTGAAGTGAGCTTTTAAATTTTAAAACAGATTTTACAGCGAACAAGAATAATAAATTATGAATACATATTTGTTTACATTTTAATAAGCAGACTCTATTTATGTTAAACATAAAAATTAATTATGAATTGAACATTTGTTCTACAGATGCAAACCTACTTCAAAAACTGTTTCTTAACCCAAAGAAGCAAAGAATTTAAGCATAGAATTTCAACAAAAATGTACTCATGAGAGTTGTTTGGGATTGAAAAATGAGCACATTGTTCAGATATTTAGAAACATAAAGTATTTTTCTAATTTGTTCTACACCCATTTGTGGTATCAATATGATATTCGACATAATAAACTAAAGAACACACTAAAATAAATTTTACTTGGAACCAGAGGTATGTAGACTATATATACAGTGAATATGTAAGGTATGAAAAACTATATATTTTTGCTTACATTATAGAAACTGTAACAAACATTTGTTAATATATGATGATATCAGCCAAAAATATTACCCTTTATTTATATTTAAGAAGTTAATAAGCTACATTAGATTTGACTGTATTAGTTCCTATATTTAATAATTTTAAATTTTTGCATTAATTTAAGCGAATAAGTATGTAAAAGCTTATATATGCTTATTAATAAAATTAATACTCATGTTCTGTTCTCTCTGCGTTCCTCATTATAAAGTGAATTGAGCTAAGTTATAATCTGTTACTTTAAAATAGGCACTTCAAGGTTATTTCTTTCCCCACCCAAAAACCACAACTGATGACCACGGCAACGACTGCTGTGGAAAATAGGTTGAATCCTCTAATTCCCTCTGTACGGTGAGCATGACATAAGTTACGATCGTAAAGGAGAAGAGTATCGGCACGACCTTGAGGTGCCTATTTTTATGTTTCTAAAGACTTTGTCTATGTTTAACTTCGTAGAAACCTAATTGAACTATAAAGCGATTTACGGGAGTCCAATTGTGTAAATGAAAAATCCAGAGACGTGTTAAACTTACCCTTTATTATCTCAAACTAAGAACACAGATGGCCTCTTTCTCGGGCTTACGGAAAAGCCTCCACTTGGGCTTTAACTCAAGATAATAAAATAAGAAATTAATGCTAAGCTAAACAGAACTTAGCCAAAGTTGTACAAAATTATCTGCAGTTGGCCCTGAATTAAATTAACCGGCGAATATCAGCAGGTACGTACAATACGGCCGAGCGTAGGTAACTTTAAACAACGACGTAGCCTGACGGAAAACACGTACCACTAAGGACTCTTAAGCACTTCTGCTGAAGTCAGTGAAACCTATTTCTATCTTTTTTACATGCAACGCGATACTAAAAACTTATTCTGGTAGGGAGTAGTAAGTGGAAAACGAGAATAAACCGTAAAGCATGTTTAAAAATGAAAATAACGGTTAGAAACTTATAATAAACTCTACACTATAATAGCTTTTGACAGTAAAATTGATAAACGAGGTGGACAGTTTTACTCACAAGATATGAACCTCTGTCTATGTCTTATGATCTACGTTTTTTGTATTTATTTAACTATTTTTAGTAGAATTAGTAATTAAAATTGTTTTACATTCCTGTGCAATGCAGCACGAGACTTATTTGAAGAGAAAGCTAAAGCGGAAAAATTAAAATACAGAGCATGCGCATTTAACATTTTAATAAATAGATATATCGCAATTGTACTCTTTTTCTATCCAAAAAATTGAGAAAATACCAGAATATTCTCGTGCATGAATAAAAAGGCTTATAAAAGCCGAGGGAAAACATCCCTCGGCTTTGACTGTAGCGAATTCGCGGTGAGATCGGATTAGCTTTCTTTGCTTTTAATTGTGTTATTTAAAACGTTTTAGTAGTTTAGAATATAACTATTGTGAGATATTGTGATATTATACAAATATATCCTAGGAAATTTCAGCATTTTGTTTTATTTATTGTGATAAGAATAAATTTTATTCACTTTTCATCGGACTTGTGTGTTCAATTTATCACGAACCCATACGCGCGCAACAATATTTTACATTTTTGTGCAGTGCAATTATAAAATTGTAATAATCACCAGATTGAGCTGTATTACGATTATTATGTTTATATATTGAAAACTACCAATTTAGCTCATCATAACAGCGATATCGCATGGCAATTTCAACATCAAAATATGCCGCAAACACACAGTACATAATGTTCTACATAGTGTTCCACAGTACATACGTAATGTTCAAAGGTCGGCGTTACTGCAACTAGTGTAGTGGATAAGGCATTTCTAGTATAGTCTGGTGTTTCTGTTTCATCGCAAGAACAATACAGCATAGTATTTACTATTGTACTCCACTAAAGTTGAAATTAATTGAAATAATAATTACGATCGATGTTATTTTATTTATATTTCAGGATAAAAACCGTGCTCTTAACAGATGCTTATTTTCAAATCTGTGTGTGTAAAGTTGTGTAAATCTGTGTAAGTCGAATATAAAAATAATTGTTTGAGTTATTTTAAATGATTTAAATATTTTAAATAATTTTTATTATTTAAATTATTATTAATTTAAATTATTTTACGGGGAAGTGAAAGGGATGTTAAGAGGGCGAAATTTAAGAAGATTATTGTTATTAAAATTGAAATTAGTATATTCTTAATCGAAAAGAGATTCTCGTCCTTCTTCTTTTCTTTTCGAAATGACTTATGGATATCAAAGTTATGATATTATCAGTGAGAAACTAAACGATCTCAGCCAAAAAGTGAAATATATTTACTTCGAATGATAAAACTGAAGGCTTTATTAAAAAGATAAGTATTGGGAAGAATAGGATGGAAATTGATTCATTCAAAATGCTTTGAATTATCGATAATTTTAAAGCAGAAAAATATTTTATATTGACACCATATATATTTTAATTTGACATTTTTATGGCTTCCTTGTACAGCCTAATTAATTACGCACATTTTTTACTGCACTTCATTTAAACTCATTTCCTCCAGTTTCATTAGAAATATATTTCTCATTCAATCAATTCAGATCTCACTTCGCAGCAAGGAAAAAATACAAAAACATCTCAAAACATCGTCATTAAAAATTATAATATACAAAAAAGTGATACTAAAAAAATAGTTCAAATGAGTTCGAGAGGGGTCAGAATGGATATATTAGCTGAAATGTGATACCCGTAATGTTTCACGATTACAATACTTCTTTTTACTCCATGCAAAGAAATAAAAAGAATTCTAAAACTTTAATTGCAAAAATTATTATAAATTGCTTAAAAACCATAGAGAAATAATTTTACAAATGCTTTACAAAGAATTTCAATTTCAAAAATCGTTTTGATTGACATTAATGAGATTAATAACCCACATATAATTAATTACACCTAAGAACAACACCTAAGAAGAACTTTTAGAGCTATCAAATGACTTAAAAACCTGAGTTTTCGCAAAATTCCTAGATTGAATTCTAGATCGGGGTATAACTGAATTTGTTACAAATTTGAAACGCCATTAAATGTTCTTTAGCAGTTCAGCACCACGTAGTAACAAGAAACGACTTTTCCAGTTTCAACATTTATTAAATACAAATAATGTTCAACATTAAAAATTCTTTATACTCAGCAGTGTCAAATATTGTACCAAAATTTAGTTTCAAGTTACATAGAAAAAAAAATGCATATCTGGCTTATTAAAACTTTAAACATGATTTTCTTTCATTAATTTTTATACTAAATCCTAACATTGCTTCTTTTAATGCGTATATTATTTACCAAATAAGTAAATAAATTACTTAGGAGAAAATATTTATTTTATGTATGGGATCGCGAAATTGTCTCGATGATAGAATTTTGAATAATGATACTGAATGTTGTCATGAACAGTTAAGAGCTGTTGTTGAGAAATCTGATCTATTTCTAAATGCACTGAAATACTTTATGTCCTCTATGTTTTCCCACAGTGGAATTCGAACCAAATGCATCTATGCACACAGCACATCATATGATGATCTTTGGCTGTGACCTGCCTGGACAGATTCAGGCGGATAACTCCAGGCTGGTATGGGATTGTGGACAGATGGGAGGTCAGCGTTCTGGTTACCTGCGAGGACCAGCCTGTTCCAGTGGGTTCCAGGTCATCTACGCCTGGGCTAAAGATGCACCACCTCTTGAGCTACCCAACGGTAAGAGGTTTTATGCAATTTAGCTATGGAAATAGAAAATGACAGAAGAGAATATTATTGTTTGTTTTCTCCACTTCCGTGTGATTTTTAAAATCTTGAAAGAAATGTACGTATATATGTAATGTTATGTTATGAGGGGGCCACCTAATATTTACCCCAAGTAAGTAGGTATTAGCCCCACGCACTAACTAAAAAACTAACAACATTCTGGCATCATTCCTTGAGTCGTGATGGAAATTGTGACTCCAGTGAGCACTACAAGTACTACTACAGGCGGCGGCAATCAACAGTACTTCTACTTTTCAGCGTTAAATTAGCTCAAGTAAAAGGGATTAAATTACATGATAGACATTGCGATATACATAGTCGTGCAGGTGCATATTTCAAGATTTTATCTATTGTAGTGGGTACAGGCAACAAGTTTCAGGACATTATATATTGCGTTAGAAACAGGCGTGATATTCCCACGTTACAGTCATTTTTGTAAACATGATCTGTTTACTATCAGAATTAATTAAGAACTATAAAATTCTTTACAAAGCTTACATTTAAGTATTGTTGTAAACTTGTGCCGAAACAGCTCAATTTTGACGATTCATTATGTGCTGTAACGTACGATTTTGTGTTAATTGATTTTCAGAAATTACATTATTGTCTCACAGTACATTTCTCTCGCAGTACATTCTCTAAGAATTTCCTGCGCTAAAGATGATCTATTATTTGTGTTCGAGAGTGCCTGCATTGCCGAGAGACAATCTGTATAGATGTAAGTCCTTGGAAAATGATGATGTGTGCTTACGTTGACTGCCTGCAAAATCGCGAACATTTCCGACTGAAAAACGCTATTCTCTTTGTCAAGTTGGAACTTTAAGTCTTTTGTGTCATGGTCAATGGTCACTGAGATATATTTTTATAGTACATCCTTTTCTGTTGACAGAAACATCAATGTAGATCTTTGGATATAATGCTTGGTATCTATTCTGCCTTATGCATAGTGTGGTATTATTTCGGCTAGCTGGGTGTCTTTCATATGGATGGGGCGGGGAGGTATAGGAGCTGGCAGCTACTATCTCATTTTTAATTTTGCAGCCTTTTCTTAGCTAAAGAACTGAAGCCTTTGCATGTTCCTGCTCCGCAACTAAAAATAGGGGGATGCTGCTGGTGAGCTGAAACAGTGCATTTAAGGTTGTTCTGTAAACTAGGGAATAATTTAAAAGAAAGGGCCTTTGGATGGATTGGAGTTGCTTTTGTTTTCTCACCGTCATTTTTGACGCCCATATCGCTGCACTATAACGTGCTATCTTTTCTATAATGTTATACAACAGCTTTTGTATTTGGGGGTTTAAGCCCCATCCGGCACCTTGCAGTCGTTTCAGGTTGTTAGCTATACTGGAGGTTTTCTGCTTAATTTGCTGTAGGTGCTGAATGAAGTTAAGTTTATTATCTATTGTAATCCCAAGATATCTTAAGGATTTGACTATTTTGATTTTGTTGTTGTCAGTGTGGAATTTCGGTATTCTGGTTATTTTTTTAGAAGGCTTATGAAATATAATGGCTTGAGATTTTTCCTGTGATATTGTTAGTTTTTGGTGCTTGCAAAGTTCGTTGTATTTTTCCACAGTAGTATTAACATTGGCCTCCAGTACTTGTCTAGAGTTTCCACTGATTACAAAGGCTGCATCATCAGCAAATGCTATGCACTTTGTGTGGTCTGGCCATTGATGTTGTACTATTTTGTTAAATGCTAAATTCCATAAATCAGCACTAAGACAAGAACCTTGTGGACAGCCTCTTTTTTGGTTTCTCTCGATGGTTCTGCTGTTGGTTATTATTATGCTCTTTCTATTGGAAAAATAGTTCTGGAATACTTTAAATAGGTTCTTCGGTCATTTGATTTCTTTAAGTGTGCCTGATACCTCAGGCCACCAGAGTGAGTCGAAGGCCTTTCTGAGGTCTAGGCATAGTAGAGCAGAATGCATATTTTGGGCTTTGTTGTTACAAATTTGGATTATTATTTCGTTGATTGCATGTATTCTGCTTCTGTTGGGTTGGAATCCAAATTGCAAGTTACTGATGCTATTTGATTTTCTCAAATGGTGCCTAAGCCGATTCGCAAGGGCTCTTTCAAAAACTTTTCCCAGCGCTGGGAGAAGGCTTATTGGCCTATATGAGCTCGGATTGGACGCATCTTGACCTTTCTTGTTGAACAGAATTATCTATCCTATCTTGAAGCAGGAGGGAAAAATACCATATTGTGCTTTTTATTGTCCGGGATAAGAGAAGGGAAGTTTTGCATATTTTTTTATTCACGTTATCTATCCGCTGGACATGGAGCTTTTTTTTGGTATTTTTTAATAAGTATTAATTCAATTTTAATATTTAGTTAAGCCTAGACAGGCTTTAGAACAATGTCCATAGCTCTCTGGAATGTTGATGGGGCCCCACACAACCCAAAGGCATGCGTAAAAATGCATAAGTGCCCGATTTTGTTATAAACGCGGTTTTATTTATGTATATCTTCGGGTCTCATAGCTATTTGATAGTAGCCAGACGTTAAGTCCAAAGTAGACATATATCTTGTCGATTTGATCTGTCTAATGATCTCGTCTATAACCGGCAAAGGGTAAACTGGAAATTTAGTTAATGCTATTTAGTTTTCTGTAATCGATAGCAAACCTCCAAGCCCTTTTATCCGAAGGAGGAAACTCGTTCTTTTTCCTACATAGTACGACTGGACTCGCGTACTCACTATTTATGGGCGTTATTATTTTATTCTTTAACATCTCCTGAATATGTTCTTCGATGATTACGTCTTTTTGTTTATCATAGCGATAAGGTTTAGTCCTACAAGGTTTTTCGGCATTTAATTGAATCTTGTGAGTCACGATTTGACAGTTTCCCGGTTTTTCTGAAAACAAATGAGAAAAATTACTCACCACTTGCTGTATTGCTTTACTTTCATGGTCATTCAAATGGCTAAGGTCCAATTCAGGTGTCTCCACAGGTTCCACCACCCTCTGGTCCATCTCCAGCACCACAGAACTATCTTGAAAATTTAATTTGGCCCTCGCGGCCCTTAAAAAGTCCATACCTAAAATAAGAGAGTGTTGCAGGGCTTTTCACCACAAAAATTAATACTTTGAGATTTTCCTCTTTTACCTGTACGTTTAATGATACTTTCCCGATGCAGTGACATGTTTTTCCTTGCGCCGCTATAATTTCCGTATTTCTGGTTTTAAATAGTCGTATCCTATAAAAATTCTTTTTGAAGAACTTTTCACTCATGAAATTTCCTTCTGCTCCTGTATCGATGAGGGCTTCTACTGGTACATCGCCAACCAGGACTTGTATAATTGGTAGCTGTGAGTTTTTTACGATGACTGTATTTAGATGTCTATTTGAGGGTTTTTCTAAAACTTCCGGGGTCTGGACCCTCCCTTTCACAGGCCCCTCTAGTCGTTTAAAGCTTTCCTTTCAATCTGTGTCTTCTGGGTACGCGGATGCTTATTTTCAAATTTTCTTTTTGGGCCTTGACCTTCGAGTTTCGATGCGTTAGCTTGATAGTTCTTTCCCCCATATGAGCGATTTCCATTTCTGGTTTCCTCCTTCCCTTCGGGTACTTTGAGAATATGTTTCCCCTCTCGCTCTTTCCGCTATTCTGCGATTTTGAAACTTCACCGCCAATTCGAAAAGTTCCTGCAATGTGCTTTGGGTTTCTAATTTCAAAGTAGTCTTGAACAGCGGGTAACAATCTTGGTAATATTATTTCAATAATCTCCGCATCGGGTTTCTTTCCCATACAGCATATCCGTTAGCTTGATTTTTCGTAAATAAAGTCCGTCAATTGTGCTGTATCCCGTTGATAGAAACTATATAGCTTCGGCTTCCAGCCGTGCGCGATCTTTCACTATGGGGAAGGCCTTTACTAACGATTTTTTGAAATTTTCAAATGTATACGTCGGGCTTCCAAATTCACCCTAGATAGAAATTTGCCTATATTTTTCCACCATAGCGCGGCCTGTCCTCTTAGTGCTGATGTGGCGATGGCAACTTTTTGTCTTTCAGGCACAGGGTAGAGCTGAAAGTGATTTTCTTCTAGACCTTCTAAAAATACGGACCACCGAATTTTTTTTCCGTCGAAATAGACGTTTGGCTTGATTGATGCTCTCAAAGTCTGGACCAGGTATCCAAATCCTTCTAACTGCGTTGTCATTTCTTGGTGTTGTCCAGCGGCTTCCATCCAATTTTCGGCCATTTCAGTTCGATAAGTTCGGGTTCGGGCGCCAATATAACGTTGCGCGCCTCCAACTTGCACGCAACCAAGAGGTGACTGTGAAAACTTGTATAAACCACAGAGTCTTGTAAAGGGTTTAAGTCCCTTTTTATTCAACGTAATAAATTACAATGGCGTCCTCTTGACGCTTACAGACTGTGCCCACTAGGCAGTCAAATAAAAATAAGAACCTGAAAAGAAAGTAAAGACAAGATTCTAACTACGAGGCTCTCTAAAATAACTAACTCACCGCGTTTTACAAATACCGCAGCTAATTCAGCAGACTTGAAGCTCACTGGAACAATTGCAACTACTTCCCGCCAAGCACATAGGCCGCAACGCGGGGTTCTTCAATTCTCGATTTCTACCCTCCGCTCCGCGCTCGCTAAGTAAGAATAACTCTCTTACCGAACTCGTTTCCTTCTATTTAAATCATACTACTTCCGCTGATAATTTGAATGCTTGCGCGTTCTACTCAAATTTACATATTCTGGCATTGGCAGTTCCAGGGGAAAGTAAGGCTTGACAGGAAAGATAGTTTAAACTTAAAATAAATGTTAGTTAAAATAAATATAAACCCTACAAGTGTTAAAAACAAACTAGATATCCCTCCCCGGAAAATTTTACCACAATATAGTCACTTTATTAATGTTTTCTAAATTATTTGCCCTACTGATAAATTGTAGTAAATATGTCACGCCCTCATCATCATTCAGGTGTCAAAAAATGATTCACAATTCACCTTATTTTTCAGTCCTGTTTCTGTATTTTTAACGTTTCGATTGGTTTTATACCTGCTATTTATATTTTTTTTTCGTTAGAGGTTGGCTTTAAGGTTGGCAATAGTAGTGGAATCAATTATTTGGTACTTCAAGTCCATTATGCTGATGTTGATAAATTTTTAAGTGAGTATAAAAACTTTATAATTTCTTTTACTGATTTATGTAAGCAACTAACTAACATAGATAAGTCAAATGCTATATTTTTACATTCATTTTTAAACGTTTTGTGAAATTAAAGTATATGATGTGGACACCACAGGAATTCCTTGTACAGCCTATCAAATTATACATATTTTCTTCTGTACTCCATTTAAACTTACTTTCTCGAATTTCATTAGAAATATATTTCTCATTCAATCAGTTCCGTTCCCCCTTCGCCGTGAAGAAAAAACACATAAATCTCAAAACAACACCATTAAAAATTGTAAATTTCAGAAAAACCTGAAACACCCAATGCAGTTAAAAATAGTAAAAAAAAAAAAAAAAAAAAAAAAAAATTACAATTAGAGTTTTTACGCGAAAACAAGCAATTCGTCCAGCGGGCAAGAAGACAAAACTTTCGATGCACAAAACTGAAAGTCAACTTTGGGCCCCACTGGACAAAAAGAGAGTGATATCCGTGTGCACCAACTAACTTACTTTACTATTCTACATCTAAGTTTCATATGTAAGCAAATGGTGGCCTCGTTAGGCCTAGCGTCATATACACTTTAAATTGTTGATAATTCTACAACTACTGCACGTAGACTAACTAACGGCATAGACACCTTAACCGGAACTTAAGGTCGACAAAATTCAATCACTTTTAAAGCAAAATATGCACAATTTAACAAATATGGGAATAGAAAATCTGAGCTTACCAAGCCGGGTAATAGGGTGGGAATAAATATATATAGATATACGTTTCGTGCGATTGATTGCAATAAAAAAAGGAAGTGCCTAATTAGAAGGATTGACTGCAGAAGAAATCGAGAAAACCCGGTACCTATTTGGCTTGATTGTTTGATTCTAGTGAAATGGTAATCAAACCATGTATTGTGAATGGTTCTTAATGAATTGAATGCACAAGTCTGGTGAAAAGTGGATAAAATTTATTCTTATCCCAAGAATAAATACAAAATGCTTAAATTTCCTTAGAGAAATTCGTACAAAATCGCAATATCTCACAGTAGTTATCTTTTAAACTACTAAAGCGTTCAACAGAACTTAATTCAAGAGAGAGAGAGCTAATCCGATTTCACCGCGAATTCTCTACAATAAACCACAGGAATTAAGTAAACAACTGATCTGAGAGATTTTCCTCTAGCTTTTTATAAGCTTTTTAACTATGCATGAGAAACTTCTAGTATTTTCTCAATTCTTCTGGATACCAAAAGAGTACAATCACGAGATATATATTATTAAAATGTTAGATGCGCGTGCTCATGTATTTTGTTTCCCGGCTTAGCTTTCTCTTCAAATAAATCTCGTGCTGCATTGCGCTAGAATATAAAACAATTTAATTAATTCTATTTAAAAATAGCTAAATCAATACAAAAAACGTGGCAATACATCAAATCTTATCTAACCGTATTTCTGCTACTTTTGTCTTTGCTGTTACGATTTAGATAATAAGTATGTATTTTATTTCAAAGAAATTATTATTGATTTGAAGTAGTCTTAGTAATTTTTCGTTCATTACGCCAGTTTGCTATTGGTTACGTTATCATCAAATTAAGAGCAAATCTGTTGCAAATGCTGTGCTGCTTGTATTCTCAATGTACAAATTAAGGTTCATTTATCTTAAACAACCATGCACAAACAAGTTGATAAATCAAAATGCCTAGAAGTTATTAATTTGAAATGTGACGTTTTTCACATATTCCCCTTCACCTCTTAACAATGTTTTCAAATATTACAGATGGAGGGACAGATAATTCCGGTATAATTATTTCTCTACTACCAGGAACAACTAATAAGTAAGTATTTCCCTTTTATTTAATTTTTATTCTATGTTTAAATGCAAATCATACACAAAGAGTGTTTGAAACGTCTATATAATAATGAGAATAGATTGATTTACTGAGACTTAAAATGTAAATTTATTAGATTGCAAATACAAATTTGCAGCTTCAGTATATTTTATGAGAGGTAGAACAGAAAGATTGACATAGTCGAAAGGACCAAGTGCTGAAGCATTTAGTATGTGTAATACGAAATGCATCAGAAAAGAAATAATTAAGATCCCAGAACAGTTAGATAATTTATTTACACTCATGTCCATAAATTAAGGATAATTCGGAGTCATGCGGAAATCGAACTCTAAAATAAATATATCACCTGTAAAATAACTATACACATCTTCAAGAAACATATACAAATTTCAGGAAGTAACCAGATGACACCGATGGTACGTCACAATGACGAGACTGTAAGAGAGTGATATATAAGGAATATAGGCAAAGAAGTAAAATTGTTCGCAGGCGCTTTATAAGCATTTCAGTGCAATAACCGAATAGTTATGACACAAAGGACGCATTTGGATGATTTTTTACGTGGTAGAATTATCGGCCGTCTGGAATGTGGGCGTACCCAACTGGAAGTATTAGACGAACTTGGAATTGCCCAGAGTGTCATCTCCAGGCTTTGGCAACGATTCCAAGATAATGGTGAGTAGACGTTACAGCACAGGTCGCCCCAGAGTTACAACGACGAATGAGGACCGGTATTTGGTAGTTACCGCCAAAAGAAACAGGCGGCGCACAGCCTCAGACCTGTCTCGTCAGCTCTCTTCAGCCACTGGTACGACAATTTCAAGGCAGACCGTGTACAGACGCTTAGGGCAGATTGGTCTATATGCTCGTAGACCTGTCAGATGCGTTCCACTTACTGCAACTCACTGTCGCCTGCGGTTAGCCTGGAGTAGAGAGCATACATTGTGGACACTGCAACAGTGGGCTTGTGTGATTTTCCGACGAGTCCAGGTTTAGCTTGCAGTCTGATTCTCGTCAGACTTTCATATGAAGAGCTCCAGGTACCCGTTACCACCAAGAAAACATCAATGAGCGACACCGTTACGGTGGTGCAGGAGTGCTCGTTTGGGGTGGAATTATTCTGGGTTCCAGAACTGACCTGCATGTTCAAATTGGAAGCATGACAAGCCAAATCTATCGGGACGTCATTCTGGAACAACATGTACGTTTGTTTCGGGGCGCCATGGGCGCACAATTTGTGTTTATGGATGACAACTCACGTCCTCACCGTGCAAACATCGTAAGCGAATGCCTTCAATCGCAGGATATCACCCGTATGGACTGGCCAACATTCTCACCGGACTTGAATCCAGTAGAGCACGTGTGGGATATGCTTGGCCGACAAGTTGCAGTCCGTCAACCTCCTCCTACATGTCTACCGGAACTTCGGAGAGCATTGCTTTGCTTTTTGAGAGGCGTAATATCCCCCAAGATCAGATCGATAATTTGATACTCAGCATGCCTAGGCTTTATACGGACTGTATTGCATCATCTGGGAGACATATAATGTATTAACAATCATACCAACCATGTAATATTTGTTTTTTTGTAAATAGATTTTTTTTTTTTTTGTAATTTGCTCCAGGAAGAAAAAATCGCTAATTTTTTTAATAATATCAATCTTTTTTGCTCTTTACCTTTTGTTTAATAAATAAGCTTTACAAATAAGTTAAATTTGTTTTGCTTCTAACTCTTCCTTTGCCTGATTTTGCATTATCCTTAATTTATGGACATGAGAGTAAATCAAAGATCCAAAAAGATGGAAAACGTATGTTGCAATATCGCCCCTGATTTGGATACAAAGGCTCACCAGTTGTAGTGAAACGCATAAAATTCATGGATGGTATGTTGACAGACAAGGGACCAAATATGGGTCATTTGATTGGTTAGTTTGTCAATAGGATAATGGAATTTGAAATAGCTTCTCAGCATGAGAGCGTCCGAGGTGCGTATGCTGTCATTGATATACAGAAACTCACGGTTGTTCTAGGTTCATTAACACCCAAACTTTACACTCCATGTCAAAAAAAAGTTGCTTATTCCAATGAATCTCGTTTAGATTTCCATTAAATAGCTGGCAAAATACGACAGTGGATCCAAAAAAAAAAAAAAAAGGTTACGAAAGTGATAAAAAATTATTTATTAACAATAGACAGAAAATACATAGCGGATATAAGAAACATACTTACCCATCATTTTCCAAATAATCACCAAATCTATTCAAGCATTTATATAAAAGCAGAACCCAACTTATTTAACCCTGCTTTGCAGAAATCGCATCCCTGCACATTGGGCCAGTTCCCGGTGACTGTTTTCTATCACTGTTTGCAGAGAACATCATTCCAGATAAGTTTTCCTTCAATTTCGGGAAAAGAAAATAGTCACTGGGTCCTAAATCTTGGCTATGTGGGGAGGGGGTGACTGCAGACTTCCCACTTAAACTTTTGCAGTAATTTTTGGGTTTGGCGACCAGTATGGAACCGGACATTGCCATGCAGGAGGATGACGCCAGCAATCAACTTGCCAGGGCGCTTGCGTCGAATGGCTTCACGTAACTTTGCCTAACTGGCACAGTAATGATCGGTAGTAACGGCATCGCCATACTTCAGATACTCGATTAGGACAACGAATCACAGCTTGCACTTCCAAGCGAAACCACCTTTCTAAACGTCTTACTATTTCAATCGCTCTGAAGCGTCACCTCCCGCACAACCACTACTGAACAATTTTTGCCATCTGGCTGCACTTTGCGGATAAAGTATTCTCTCCACAGTAATTACCTTTCAAATACTGATGTATGTCACCTTTTCTTTAGGATCCACCTAAGTAGTTACAAAACGCTTTCGATTTTTTTATTATTTTGCCAGGAGGTTTGTTTTTATTTTCTTAGAAGTTTGTTCATTATATTGCTTTTTTAAAGGAAAAAAAAAACATTTTGATCTTTTCGACAAAATATCGAATACTGATCAAAATTCTGAAAGTCACTTAATGCGATCTGATTTTGTTGACATCTCTGTACTTGACTAATTTTATAGACTAAACATTCCAGTAGTGTATTCTTGCTCTTTTTCATCCAAAATTAGTTTCTTTCACTCTTCTGTTGCCTGCTTTTAAGTCACAATATATTCACTATCATGATTTTATAAAAAAAACCATTTCCTTCATCATTCTTGTCGTTATGCAGCTGCTTTTCGATATTTTTTATTCCTTTATATGAAGTAAAGGAAGTACTCTAGTCGCTAAAAATTTGGGGTATCATATTTCAGCGAAAATATCCCTTTTGACTACTCCCGAATCCATTTAAAAATGTTTTTGGGTAACATCTTCACATACAGAGAGAATAAAGGATCTTTTCCAGGACGGATTGTAAAATGGATTAAAAATGGATTCAGAAAAGACTATTTTTCATGATGTCTATACCTACGTATCTATCTCGCAAATTCTGCATTTTTTGCTTTAAAAGTGATTGAATTATGCTGTTCTTATGTTTCGGTAATGTTTTTATGCCTTTAGCTGATCCGCATGCAACAGTTGTAGAATTATCAACCATTTACAAGTTTAAGTGGCGCTAGAACTAACGAGGCTGCTGTTTACTTACATTTGAAACTTAGTAGAGTAGTGAATTAAGACAGTTTTTGCACTAAATGTCTTTTTGCCCAGTGGGACAAAAGCTAAATTTCAGTTTTATGCCTCAAACATTTTGTCCATCCGCCCGCTTAACGCATTGCTTGTTTTTGCGTAGAATACTCTAACAGTAAAATCTGTGTTTTTAACTGTTTTTAATTGTGTTTAATGTTTTAGGTTTTTCTACATTTTACATTTTTTAATAAAGATGTTTATGTATTTTTGCCTTGCCGCGAAGTGGGAACTAAATTGATTGAATGAGAAATATGTGCCCAATGAAATTCGAAGAAATAAGTTTAAATGAAGTACAGCAAGAATTATAGGCCGTAAAAGGAAGTCATGTGTTGTCCACATCAGATATTTTTTCATTTACATATTGAACTTCCAGAATTATCATAACTCCATGCTGCTATCTCTTCACTGTCAGACTTCCGTTCCCTTCATTTTTTCATAGATCTTTATTTTTTTTCAGTTATGAATTGAGCTTAGGAATTTAAAAGCCTTAGCAATGTAGTTCACTACAAAGGCACGTAGTAATAAAAAATCGCGAACTTGCTCTAAAAACGCTCTAAATTTCAAAATTCTAAAAGCTGCAAATACCAGTCACAAGAAATTTTCCTTCCGAAGACGTTGCAAAGATAATCTGCAAAACAATAATCCATACGTGTATAATCGAGAACTTAAAGGTACTTCTCGTTTTGTTCTAGGGTGACAAAACCTGCAGGTGTCTACGTCCTTTCAACCTATGGAAGAATTCGAGCTGGCGAGGAAGGTAAGAATGAATATACATTAACAAAAATATGGATCATTTTTATTACTTACACTAGTTTTGAAGATTGTGGAAATCGTTTAAGAAATATGTGCTTTTTAAGATTTTTTTATATTGTTATTTTTAAATAAAATACAGTCGAACCGGGCTATAACCAACCACCAAATATAATGAACGAAATTTTGTCCCGTCCAGTTTCCTGTATATCTAATGCTATTTTACACTGTTAGAGAGAATTTGCAAAGAGAGTAAGAAAATGAAATAACGAACTATATCGATATCTTCGAGTTAAACGTTTTTGCATTTTTCATATTTTTTCCAGAATATCTTCAAGTTTTAACAAAAAAGTACTAATCTTTAAACTCATTCATGTTTAAGATATCAGGATCCATATTTCATCCACATTCCATCCGTAAAGGAAATCACCTTTATTCTATTTTCTTTTATCTTCATCCGCACTTTTTTCTGTGTTCTAAACAAAGGCATATCTGTCTTGCATATGATGACTCACAATTTATACTATAATGAAAAGTTTCGTTATTCGGAGAAAGCATTGAGTCTTATGAGCTTGCAGTTGATTCTTCTTTTAGGGAATGAAAAGTTTTTATCCTTATCGTTTTGTTTTGTTTGAGCATAAATGTTCTCCAACTTCTATCCTCTGTATAGGTGTTATGTATTCTTTAAGTTTTTTGTAAAATATAAGATATTTTTTATAAAAATTACTGAATCTTTGTATTGCAAACATACTTATCTTGGGGAAGAAATGATATTGTCTCTATGGACATTGGATAAGACATATAGATGACGAAATTATCTTCATTTTTCATATTTTCCGGAAAAGCAAAATTATCACGTAATCTTTGAATTAACTCTCTGCACTCTATTTCCGTGTTGACATCTCATCCACGTGCGAGCTGTAAACGTAGAATTTCTCCATTGAAAGTAAAAGGAACATTATTCGAAGACTACAAAATGGATGCAGCCAAATCAATATCTGCCAAAAATATAATTTAACCCTATCGACAGTTGCTACCATATGAAAAATGGAAACTCTCTATATAATTGTTACTCAAGTAAAAAATTTGGATACGAGGAAAACATTGAAAAATGGGGAATATAAGAATGTTGAGGAAGCCTTGATGAAATGACTCGACGATTAAAGAAGCCATAATTTTCTAATTTCTGTATAAAATCTTCAAACAAATGCCAGTGAGTTTGCCTTTCACTTTAGAGATATCCGAAAAAGAACGAACAACAGATTTAATTAATTGCGCGTTAACTGTATTAAATCTTTATACGACTTTTTAATTAGAATTTATTATTCACTTCTTTTGGTAGACTCGACAGTGTTAATCAGATTTTGTTTTTCCTTCATTATTCAATTTTTATACATATTTCTGAAATAATTCATTTGTCGTATCGGATTGGATATAACGAATCAAACTCCAGGTCCCTTGAAATTCGTTATAGCGGAGTTCGACTGTAATATTAAGAAGCAACCGTAAAAAACTAAGGTTCGTAAATGTATGACACAGTTTCGTTTTAAAACCGATACGCTCAGGCAGAATACTAAAAAAATCCGAGAGGGGTCGAATTTCAACGATCGCCCAAGAGGGCTATTTTAAAGTTTAATATGGTTTATCAATAGAGATTATCGATAATAGAGATAGCCCAGATGAAATAGTGAAACGTTATATTGGAAATTAGGTGAATAAGCGTTTAGACTAGCATGAAAATGTCAAATATCTTCTGTATATTTAAAAAGTGAAAAAATATGCAATGTGATTCTAAAAAAATATCGAAAATATTCTGTACTCAATAGTGTAAACTCAGTTAAACATTAGTTATTGGATAATATATTTCATGCACCGTATTGAATGTTCATGTACCTTATTAGTTTCAATTAGATATATCGTTTCAATTAGATATATCATAGATCAAATACTTTTTTTAAATCAATCAGATTAAAATGTAAAAAATAATGTTTCTAAGAGCTGCATATATTGCTTTTAAATAGAGGCTGTTTCATATGGAATGCTTAAAAAAAAAAAAAGCATACCTGTGAACGCTGTAGCTACTTCACTTTGATAAATCAAATTTGTTTTGAAACTATAGTTATTCATGTTTCTAATAGACATTCTATGTGTGACCCTCTGGTGACACGGCAAATATCTGTGCGATAATCCACTTCCTGCCATACTCGTGATAGAATATCTTTTGTTAAGGATTCAAGCACTTCATTTATTCGCTGCTTCAGTTGCTGTGCGTCCTGGGGAAACGGAGGCACAAACACTTTGCCTTTAACAAAACCCCATAGAAAAAATCACAAGGGGTTAGATCTGGTGGTTTCGGTGGCAACAAAGCAATGGCATATCGTTTGACCCAGCACGACCAGTATAGCGATGGGGGATACTATCACTTCTGTGCTGGCGCGCGTGTTTCTGCCAGTGTGATCAAGAACCGTCTTGCTGCAAAATTAAACAGAGAACCGCTTGCTCCAACCGAAGGAACAACCAATGTCCCAAAATCGTAAATTATGGCAATTAACTTCGCCAGAAATATGAGAAGTGGCTTCATCCATAAACGCAAGTCTATTCTCGAAACCATCTACCTCAAGCTTATCTTTCTTTCAGATTCTCACAGAAAGCTTTCCGAAAGGTTTAAATACCTGCACTATCTGATAGGTGTATGGCCGAAACGTTATCGTAACACGCGTCACACCGTAACACGAGGCACACTGAGTTCAAAACTTGTACGACGCGTTGATTTTGTGAGATTTCGTAAAAAAGTTTCACGAATTTTTTTCAGCCGCTTCGGTTTGGGCTGGTTTTCTTACATAAGCAGCCCGTGTCCTAAAACTACTTCATTCACCCTTCGATGTTGTAACGATGCGGTGGTTCTTTACCAAATTTCGTGCAGAAAGGTCTTTGAACAACGATAAACAATGAAGTTTTTGCGTATTTAAAACACAGTAAGCATTCTCCTACGGATGGCACCATTTTGATTAAGATACTTGTAGCGGCGATTTTGTGATGAGTTTTCGCTATTGCTAGATAAAACATGTATAATTGGAGTTTCAGAATTAACTGGTTTCAGCATAAAAAATCAATTACAGAATTTGTACTAAGCCCGTTTAATATGAAACACCGTCTAGTTTAGTTTGTTAATTAATGAAAGACAGATGAAATATAAAAGAACAATATCTTAAATTTTTCTGAATGGCAAGCAGAGTCAATTGTAAAGTGAAACAAAGCACTTACAGTTAAACAAAGCAAAATCGTGTTTCGCGACTAATATACTTTTTGAACTAAAAACATGCACGATTACGAAACCAAAATGAATAGATCCACTCGAAAATATTCTGTACTCAATAGTGTAAACTCAGTTAACATTAGTTATTGGATAATATTTCATGCCCCGTATTGAATGTTCATGTACCTTATTAGATGACACGTTCTTGTGCTGTAATTGAGCGTGTTTAAGCATCTACCGCAAATGATAAATAATAATTTTAGTGCTCCTGTATTATGAAGTAAAAAAAAAAATTCATATTGTTTCAGGACAAAAGAGTTAGTCGCCATAATGCAAATGTAAAGTACTATTGCTTAGGAGTATTGGAAATTGTAATGTGAAATCATTTTTAAGTGTCGATTTTAATTATGTTTGCGTAAATATCCTTGCTTACAATGAAGATTATTCAATGCTTAAATATTTCATTTTCCTAATTTTTTAGAGCATTTCGAAGCGGCTTGCACATTTAATGAGCCTGTTGTTATTCATCCTTTCGCTTTTCGAACACATACGCATTCACTGGGTAAGTCTCAAATTAAGCTACAATTTTCAAAATATTAAGCTTTTGAATGTTTACTGCATTTTATTCGCAACTCTAATTGCGGTATAGTACATCTATTTCTATTGCGGTATATTGCATCTGTATCTGATGCCTTTTATATCATATTACAAAATATTTGGATACAAGTGAATATAACATTTCATTATTCAAGAAATAATTAATGCAAGAAGGTCACGGAGTTAAATGCTTCCAGAAAATGTTCTGGAGCGCCTCAGCTTATGTGGCAATAGCTCATTCAAAGATACAGAGATTGTTTGCACATTTTCAGACAAATTCCATTGTAATTACAGAAATGTTCTACCTAAAATTTTTATGTTTTAAATGTTGTATTTGATAACCCTTATTATTCACTACCTTTCTACACCGTAAGTTCCAAGAAAATAAAGCCTTCTGTAGTATCGGAAGAGGTATTTTATCCCATTGCTCTCGAACAGCTTTAAAAAGTCCAAGGAGATTGTAGGTCAACGCTTTTTAAAAGTCCAAAAGCGCAAAAATACATTTATGATAGAACATGAGATTTAGTAGGGATATGTGGAAGGCCTTGATACTCGTTTCTTGTTACAGTTTTTCCAGGAAATTAACGATACATTTCGTCGTGTCGCTTCTTGCTTTGTCTTGATGCAGTTCTACTGATCACTCTGTATAAAAAAGACGTATTTCGTTAATTTAGAAGCCAAACAATAAATATCAGCGTTATATTTTGTAAATTTTCACAGGACTAGTTTCGATGGTTTTACCGAACCATCGTCCTCAGCTGCCAAAGCGCAAATGAACCAGATAAGATATAGTGATTAGACAAGATTGAAGAATAAATATAGCAAAGTCAGCTTACTTTTCATGCTCCAGCAGCATAGTTAAGTCTCCGAAAGTGTGTGACTTTGACTTTGTGTGAGGGATATATCCTATGATAATGTGATATGAATACGTGATATGAGTATTCATACCCTATGATATGAATATGTGAGGGATATAAAGACTAGACTTTGTGTGAGGGATATATCCATTAATAATAGGATGCATATTTAAATACAAATAACAATTATTCAACTGGTAACTAAAATAACATAAAGCGACAGACACGTTAATGTTGCATATAACACGCACACGAAAGCTTAATAATAATAAAGAACGAAAGGCTAATGGGATATTATAATTGTGTGACTGGCGTGGTTGGCCCGCACGTACCTTGGCATTTCTAGGGCTACCAGAAGTGAGTCGGAGAAAACATTCTCTCTTCTCAAATGCCTGATTAATTTACAACAATCCCCCTTTTAATCAAGCATTTGGGAAATGTTGGAAATCAGATTTAGCTCACTTCTTAATCTCAGAAATTTAGGTTTGGGCAATGGCTTAGTGAAAATATCTGCAATCATGGAATTTGTATTACCAGTATGTTATCTCGATTATATTATTCTTTTCCATTTCTCCTAAAAAAGAAATATTTAACATTAATATGTTTTAGCCTGGTTTCATTTTTCCCTGTTTTAGAAGGGCTATTGTGGACTTATTGTCCGCAAATATCTTAATGGGCAGATTTTGAGGTAGTTTAAAATCGTTAAGATCTAATATCCATTTGAGATCTTGAGCAGCAGTAGCTGCAGAAATAAGCTCGGATTAGGTAGATAATAAGGAAACATAATTTTGTCTCTTTGTGTGCCAAAATATTGAGCTGCTTCCTAAGAAAAATAAATTTCCATCGGTTGATCGTCTAGAGATTAAATGAAATGCATAGTCAGCATCCGTATGGCAGGAAAGTGTTGGTGGGCTATCAGAGTCAATTTTCAGGTAAATGTCCTTTGTAGAGTTCAGGTATTGAATCATCCTTAGAACTGCTTTCCAATCCTTCTCATTTGGAGATTCATGCTTTCTGCTTAAAAAATTCACTGCTAAGGTAATGTCCGGTTTAGTTACAGTGGCTATGTATAAGAAGGCTTCGATGGCTTGCCTATACTTGGTATTGTCCACTGGTGGAGAGGCGTCGTCATTCTTTGGATAGGAAGTATCCATTGATGTGTAAGATGGTTTGTGGATATCTGGACAAAAGATTCTTAAGTTTTTCTGTTTTTGATTTTTGACTCAACTTGTTTTCATCTCTTTTGATGTTGATTCCTAAGTAGTTTCTGATTTCTCTTAAGTCTTTTGCTTCGAAGAATTCAATGAAAAATTTGATTAGCCTTTTGATTTTTTTTTTCGCTTTTGCATGCTATAAGGATATCGTCGACGTAGATAATAATCATTATCTTGCCATCTTTCTTTAGAAACAAGCAGGGTCTGCCATACGCTGCGAAAATTTACTATTCTTTAATATTCCCGCTGCTTTTTTATTCCATGCTCTAGCAGCTTGCTTTAATCCCTAAAGAGCTTTTTCCAGTTTGCAAACCTTTTCTTCTTGTCCTGGTTGAACTGTGTCTTCTGGCTTTTCCATGTATATTTCTTCTTCTAAATTTCATGTAGAAAGGCTGTAGTGACGTCTACATGCCTCACGTGCATTTTACCACATGCTGTGATAGCAAGAAAGGTGCTAATACTTATATGTCGAACTGCTGGTGCAAAGGTATGATCGTAGTCAGTTTCAAATTTTTGACTATAACCATTTGCGACTAGTCGCGCCTTGTAACGAATGACTGTTACATCTTCGTTTACTTTCAGATTGAAAATCCATCGACAGCCAATAGGTTTCTTTTTTACAGGAAGCTCAACTAGTTCCCAAGCTTTATTTCGGGATAAGAAATTGATTCTTTCGTCAACTGCAAGTAACCACTTTTCCTTTTCCTCGGAATTCTATTTATCTAAGCCTTTAAAATTCTCAGGTAAGATTTTGATAGCTAGTTTCCTCTAGAAAGGTCCTCCACGAAGTATCCCTTCCTTTAGGCAAATAGGCCTCATGGGCTTTAATTTATTCAGATAACCTAACCTAATCTGATAAAATTCATGAATTAAGTCAAGCCTTTCTTATAATTGCTATATACTGTATAATATGCAAAGTTCAATTCATTTGGCTATAATCCACTGTTAAACGCTTAGACGTTAAGTGACTAATCGCTAAGTCTAAAAATACCACAGAAACTTGCGAAGGATATAAAAGACCTCTTTACGATTCAGCCGGTATTTATGGCGAGGAACTCAAAATTAGTAAGTCAGATAAAAAGCTTAAGTTTAATTGAATTAATAGCCAAAGGCTACACAGAGAAATTCAATGCGAAGTTGACTCAAAGCTTCACCGGCGTCAGTTTCAGCTATCGTCAATTGTAATGCAAGGTCGAAGACAGGAACTCATATCTCAAGTAGCAAACTTAGTAACATGACTACGAGTGGTAGAACACGCTTTGTCTTAACAAACTCAGTTCTCACGATAAATACACGTGAACTAATTTGCATTCTGGAGGGAAAACAGAAAGAGAGATGTGACAATACAGATTCAAAACATTAAGAAAATAGTTATTCAAATTAAAGAAACGTCAAAAGATACAATATGTAGAACAGAGAAGCAGGAATAAATGTTCAACAAAATATGCAGTTATTCTATTTGAACACCCGTGTTATTTTATTTATTTCTTTTTCTTACGGTCTCTTCGCATTGTTATGTTTTCCAGCAGAACAGTTTTCGTATTTCGGTTACTTTCCATTCAAAAATTTTTAAATTACTCGACGTGTTTACCCCACATTAGTTCTATAATTTTTTTTTTTTTCCTGAAAGAATGTTTAAAATCAAAAATAATCTGGAAATAATTACTTTAGTTATTTAAAGCACATATTAGAATCTAGGTTCGTTTATTTGATATAATTATTTATTTTATTCATGTTAATCTTCGTATAAAAAGGTCGAAATGTCGTGAAACTAGAATGTTTACGAGAGAATTGTGTGATACTTGACAATCATTTACAAGCAATATCTTCGTAAATATTAATTCCCTTAAATCAGGGATTCGCAACGAAGTCCAAAAAGTGTTTAATGTAGCCTTTTATGAAGCCAACAGGGTCAAGCAATCAAGCAGGGTCGATGAAATTTCCTAAGCACCTGAGCAAAGAAGAAATGTCCGCCGTAATTACATTTAACTTCCTTTTACATAATTTTCTACTTCATTCAAAATTTAGAATACCACATAGAAAGTCATGAGATTGACATAACTGTCATAACGTTTATTAGATTACTTTCCTTATTTGCATTTAAAACTATCGTCTCAAAACAAGAATGAGAATTCTGAAAACAAGAAATAAGAACAAACTCGTGTCAAAGAAATTGACTTCCATAGAAGAATCATTCATTATGCGCATGTTTATGGATGAACCGAGAAAATTTCCTCTCTCTTCAGAAAGCGCCATCATAATGGACGATAATATATTTTCTATCAATTTATTCCAAAAACTCCAGGTATAAATTAAATGTGCTAGAATGCGTGCATTAAAAATGATAAATAATTTGGATTCAGTATTTTTTTGTTACAGATTTTCAGATTATTTTTAAACTGATTCAACATTTACATAAAGGTTTCATCAAATCAAGAATGACAAAATTTCTTAAAATGTTCGCAAAAGACATTAAGATTCCTTAAACTGTAAGCTCCATTGTGAGGATTCTGCGTAATTTATCTAAATATTCTTGTCATGGGAATTTATTAAAAGATATGCGATTAGCGTCATTAGAATCTACAACAGTTTGCGTTAAATCAAAAATAAATGTATCAAATCAGAAATGTTTTTCACTCTGATCTGTAAGAGTAGTAAATGTTCATTGTTAAAATTATTCTAAATTTTAAAAGTTAATATAAAATACAAGTTTGTACATCGAGTATTTAATTAACTCCAGGTATATGTTGTGTAGCGATTTAATTTAATTAAGTGATTCATAAAATCAAATTTAATTTGTAATTATTCAAAATTTGAGCTACAAACAAGTTTGTGGTTTTATTCTTTTTTGGCTTATTAATTCTAGTGTAATCTATTTCGACTTTCGAGTTTACGCGAACTGGTCTTCGATTTGTGCACCAACAATGGATTTAGGTGAAATTTTCTGTAATAAACTCAGTTTTTCATGTAAAAATTAATTGATTTCTTAGTATTTAATATCATTAGTTGCAGAAAAATTAGCTCTTTAATTTGACATAACTTTCGTTTTCCTAACTTTAATTGCATTTTAGTTATGAGCTTTAATTAGTAGATTTTTTTCTGTTTTCATAGTGATTTCTCTTGTGGAAGAAGAAATGCCCTTTTTCGGTAAAATAGTCGCTTTTTTTCGAGTTTCAGCGTTCCCTCGTTGGGACTGCTTACAGGGTTGTTGAAATTCCAAGTTTCCCCCTTCTTTAGGCCTGTTATTTTGGCGGCGGCTTGGCGACTTAGAATTTCCGTTGGGGTTTCAAAGTGGTGTCTTTGGCGAGTTTGCTAACATGAAGGAATGCTGAGTTGCACTGGTTTAACTATTGGCGAGAGTGAGTTTGTGCCAAATTGGAGTTCCGACGTTCTCTTTTACGGTTGTTTTTGTGGGACAGGTCACTTTTGACACTTCTTTGCCCTTTGAATTGCTTTCGAGGAGACAGCTGATTCCGCCGAAAAAATGGATCTTGGCTCCGATGGAACTACGGGCCTCTTGGCTAAGCGCTTTGAGCGCGGGCCGTAGTGTATGGGCATCTATGTCTTCGCAAAAATTCAAATTCGAATTTATTTTCTTTCGTGTGTGTTTGTGTATTTCAAGAAAAATTTAAAGCAGAAAACGATCTATGAAAATGATGCGTGCTTCCCGTTCTCAACCGTCTGATTGCCGCTGTACTCTGAAATGGAGCGTTAAATTACCACCGTTGCTTTTGGACCCCTTTAGAATTTGACTCGTCGTTTCCCGCTGAAGATGTCCGGAAAAATGTCTGAAAATTAGTTCCTCTTAATCTTCTCGTATCTCCAATCCGGGACTGTATTCACTTATTTGGCCGTTTTAGATCCTCATTAGTTCATCATAATCTCCTCGTATCTCCACATCCGGAACTGTATTTCACTTATCTTACCGTATTGGAACCTCATTTGTTCATCCTAAAATCTACTAGAACTCTCGGCTATCGTAATGACTCCATACATTTGACGAACATTTTTTTCCATTCAACAGGCTGCCCGAATTCCTCATGAGCTTCAATGGACTTTTTTTTTTTTTTTTTTTTTTTTTTTTGTGGTTTGACTTTTCCTGCTACTCAGCTACCAGATAAGTTAAATTTTTTTGTTTAATTCTTGGTTAGTTAAATATTATAGATTCTTCTGCAGTTAAAATGATTGAATTAATTTATTTATTGAACCTTAAATTTTTTGTAGTTGATAAATTTATCCTAACTCTATAGAAATCATTTTTCTTTGGGTGTATCAATAAGTAAAAGCATTAAATGGAATAAAGATTTAACCGTATTAAAATTATTGTAACTTAACTTAATGTTAAGAGAAAGAAGTTCTTCATGAAATTATTTAATTGAATTTTATTGTTTTGTTTGAGTTACTCATTGGTGAGGATGATTTGTAATAGTGCCTGTATTAGATCATTCTTGCTCCTCTCAGGACGAACTTGATTGTAGAAGTGTAATGGTGTCACTACTTATCTATATCCGGTTAAACCATATTTAATTAATCAAAAGGAAAAATTAAATGATATAAATTATTATGTGCAATACAATAGTTTGTTTGATGGTATTGAGTGCAATAACAATATTCCTATGTACCGATTATTCTGTGTGAAGTGGAAGGTGTAACTTGTTAATTTTTTTATTATTTTCTCCCCGGGGAGGGTACTGTTTCATAATTTATGTTATTTTGGTATGTTTTACCAGATGAAATAAATTAATAGAAATTACAAGGATGTAAAAAAATTTACTCAGAAATAGTTTGATGTTGTAAAGCAATAGTAAATTTTTGTTGAATATATTTTGATTTTTCCAACCTAATGGATATATATATATATATATATATATATAGTTTGCATTAAGAGTAAATAAATAAGTTTTCTAGATCAATCAATGGTTAAATTTGTTTTGTGTGCTCATGATTTTTACCAGTCTTTTACTCAAATTGATTTAAGGGTTAATCCGGAGGAAAACACAATGCAATTAAAACAAGTTATTGATAATAGTATGTTATGGTAGAATTGATAATAGTATGTTATGGTATTTTTTATTGTTGTGATCAATTAGTAGGGTACCTTTTTGGTAATTTCAAAAACGACACAACATATATATCTGGAAGAATTAATTATCATTTGCTAACTGACAGTTTTGTTTTCATGCAAAATGTCGGTTTTAAAGAAGCAATGGATGTCTGTCCTTCTTCCGAAGAAAATTACTCCAACCTAGTTATTACAAAAAATCGTGAAAGCCAATGGTTTTTCGACATCTAAACCTACGATAGGTAATATTGTTAACAAAAAGGAAGAAAACGTCAAAGTTTGGCTTCAAGTGAAAAAATTGTTTTTAGTATATATCCAAGGAATAAACGAAATGTTTCGAATTTTGAAAAGATAAGATCTTTAACGTTAAATTCCGTCAAGACAAAGGTCAGTAGCAAAATGATTAAAATGTTCAGTGTAAATTGTAAAACTGTAAATAAAGTGATTAATGCTGATATGAAGTTTAAAAAGGCGAAAAAATTTAATGTGCGTCGTTTTTCTCTGTCGCCGAACGCAGATTGTGCTGCAGAATTCTTTATAAGAAATATTTATCCGAACAAAAGTGGAAAAATGTTGTCAATATAGATGAATCTTGCGTGTATTTAAATGACTACAATAAAAAGATATCCGTTATTATCATCAAATAGGAGGAAAAAAATCTTAAAACATGGTTCAAAGGATCTAAAAAAAGTTTTCCAACAGGATTTAGGATTTTTGGTGGAGTTTCATATAATGTCGAATTAAAAATAAAGAGAGTGGAAAAAATGTTAAGACCAATTCTACATATTTTCAAGGACATATCTGATAGCCAATTTTCAAATATGATATACCTTCTGTTTAGAAACAATGCCATCAATCAGTAGGACTGCATTAAGACAAAGCAGCCACACATCAAAATCCACTGTTAATTTCCTGGAAGAAAATGGAACAAGAAATAGGTATCAAGATCATACCCTTCCCTCAAATTCCTGCTAAATATCCTGATGTATCGTCCATGAATTTTTGCTATTTGGGTCTTTTAAAAAGCGAATTGTCCAAACGTCGACCTGCAGCTCTCCTTGGACTTTGGAAAGGTGTTCAAGAGAAATGGGATAAATTATCTCTACCGATACTATAAAAAGCTCTATTCGTTTTTAAAATTACGATGTAGAAAAATAGTGAAGAATAAGGGCTATAATACAGAACATTTAAAACACAAAACGTTTAGGTAAAATATATACGTAAATACAACGAAAATTGTCTAAGAAATGTGCGAAAAGCCTCTGTAGTATATTTCCTTGTCAAATGCATTGCTTTTTATATAATATTATTTGATCATCTTTATGCATATGCATTATATTTTATTTGATTTTCTCTATGTTTCTGAGTAATTTTAATTTTTCAGGTAAGGTTGTATCCGGTTACAAAATTGATAAAAGTGGAAACTGGACCCTTATTGGAAAACGTAATCCTCAAGATCCCCAAGTAAATCAGCCAATCTTTTTTTTTTTTTTTTTTTTTTTTTTTTTTTTTTTTTTCATTCTTGGTGTAATATTATAAAAGTATGCAAATGATTGCAAATACCTTTTTTATATTATATACGCATAATTATTGCATCCTGTTGATTTCTAAAAACTTCTATGAATATTTCAACTTGCATCATGTGAACTGGCGTGTTAGTATTGCAGATATCGCAATTTGAGATATGGCAAACAACGCTGTTACAAATTTTATTACGAAGTGTCATTAGATACCCAATTTTCAATCAGGAACTGAAAAATTTCCTAAATTTCTGCCGCCTAGCCTAGGGATTCCAAACCTTGTCCATTAGTGAGTCATCAAATATCTGTCAAATCTTGGAACATAGTTCCAATTATTATTTCTGTTACTGTTACTAACATAATATCTTACAACTCTAATTTTCACGACAAGTCTTTGCTTGAATGTATTGAATTACTATATTTACTCGAGGTTTCCCGCTTTCCTTCTAATTTTATCGCTTGTAACCAGAGAGGGAATAAACAAACTTTGTACAGTATTTCTGAAGAGGCATCTCTTTCCCAGTAACCGAGTGGTTTAAACCACCGAATACTGATGGTTTGACCTGTCTTGAATTCGAAACCATGCGAAAGGGCTGGCTGCATGGTTGGTTTTTGCGGATTTCCCCATGTGTACTGTGAATAAGTGTCAATTTCTCTCATTAAGTCCTTTATGATAATTTATCCCTCCTTTCTGCATGCCTTCGTGGCATAACGGTTAGCACACTCGGCGCGTTTTAGAGAAGTCCAGGTCCGAGTCCCGGCGAGGTCATTGCGGATTTCTTCAGTTTCCTGCTTTAAAAAATGCTTAATGTCTCTACAGTGACGCCCTAACTAAAATGGTGGTGGCTGATGACTTTTCACCACGAGGATTTGGCAATAGGATCCCCTAAACCCAATCTCCCTATAAAAGGAGGAGTATATAAGGTATTTTCTCCCTCCTTTCTGCATGCCTTCGTGGTATAACGGTTAACACACTCGGCGTGTATTCGAGAGGTCCAGATTCGAGTCCCCGCGAGGGCATTGCTCATTTCTCACTTTTCCAACATCGAAAATAATCTAATCTCTCTACAAGGCACCTTTCCTGTTAGGCAAATAGCCGTCAGGACTTTGTCATATGCAAATAACCTAACCTAACCTTATCTGAAGAAACGGCTTAAATGATAGACATGGCACATTGAAATCTACACATAAAAGCACGCTTATATTATTATATAATCTATTTCAAAGAACTTATAATGTAATTTTTCCCTCCTTTCCGCATGCCTTCGTGGTGTAACAGGAAGTACACTTGACGCGTATTCTGGATGATTGGAATTTGAATCCAAAAAGGGCATTGCGGATTTCTTCAGTTTCCAGACATTGAAAAAGTTCTAATAAAGGCTCTACAGGTGGCGCCCGAACTAAAAGGGGGGGAACAATAATTCGTAACGACCAGGATCTGGCGATTGGATTCCTTCTCCCCAGTCGCCCTTTAAAAGGAGAAGTATATAAGGTATCTTCTGCTTCCTTTCCATTTGCCTTCGTGGTCTACCTGGAAGCACGCGCGATGCGTTTTCGGGAGGCGTCGACTTCGAATCCCGGTGAGATCACTACGGATTTCTTCAGTTTCCTGACAACGAAACATTCTAAAAAGGACTCTACAAGTTTATCATCTCCAGTAATATTAACTACACAAAAATGTTTTTCTATTTGTGCATACATTTTACGCTGTTACCATAAGTCAGAAGTTTATAAATCAACATTCTGTAAAAACTAAGGGGAAAATTTCAATGGGGTGAAATATGCGAGTAAATATGGTGTTCCTTTGCTTAAATTGTATCTGCTCATTTTAAAAATTACTTATTCATATAAGTAAATGAAACCGGTGGGCAAGTACCTTCTGCAATTCGTGCCAGATCCCCGCAAAGGGGTCAGAAAGGAGGAGACCATGCAACCTGGAGAAGAGGGCGAAATCTACAGGACCCAAAAATGGAAAATACGGCGCATGCGGTTGTAAGATCATGTTCCGTTTCGTGAGGATTACATTGTGAAAAGAAAACGATGACAGGATGCATCGTCTACATTTTCCAGCGATGAGCTTGTTGAAGGTCTTTCTCAGCTTTCTTTTAGTCTTTTAGTCATGTTTTCTTGCTCTTAAAGCGTGCATGCCACTCAAAACACCTCACACAACTCATGGCAGCATGGTAAATTACCTGCACCATGTGCAACATCCCGATGGCATATTTTCTGAGCTTCACACAAAATTTCATGTTCGCTGTTTGTTCATGCTTATTGTTCATAATGGAATTACAACTTGGTCACAATAGCACAAGTTGCACAGCTACCAATGCACAAAGTGCAAAATCTCTCGGTGCACTGACTTATGAATGTTGGTGCTCCCTGTGACTGTGAGCGTGGGCTTAAGCTTTCATTTATTTTCGTATTAAAAACCTAGTCTCGGAATCTTTTGATACAACCTCGTACATCAAAACAACGATGCCGGGTAATAGATGAAAACAGACTGAAGTATTAAAAACGTTTATGAGAAAAATCACGAATTACTTGTCTTTTGCAAGGAATTTCATAACTATTTTTACTGTTTATTAAAATAATATGTACTGTATGTCGATTGTACGATCATTTCTGTTCAATACACGATATTAAGTAACAGATAATATCTCAGATTATGTTCCATTTGAATACAAACAATGAGAAATAATTGTTATTTCCTACACTGCTTACGTATGATGGGCACGGAGTGATAGCTTTCTAGGCAAAATGAAGTTATGTTCAAATTTACCACCAAAGTTGTTTTCAATAGAATAATTGTATTTTTCATCATCAGAACTAAATAAATAATACATCCGAATCTGTTGGCGAGATTATGGCCATAGTATTTTTCTTTCATTCCTCTGTTATCAGAACCAAATAAGTAGTTCATCCAAATATGTTTGGCAAAGTCATGCCCATCATATATATCGCCAATTTTTAGGTTATCACAACTAAATTAGTGGCACGCCGGAATCTGTTAGCAAAATCGCGCCCATAATACTTTTGGGCAAGTGCCGAGTTTGTTGGATGGGCTGAAATCGCATTAGCTTCATAAAGTCGAAGGTGCTACTTAATGCTTTATAACTTTCACAAAGCTAGTCAACTAACTTCCTGGAAAACTGTTTTATGTTCGTATCACTATATGGCACCTTAGTCTCAACAGTCCCCACAATGCACTTCCTTTCTATAGTGTATAGTGTGGTCCTTCTTTCAGAGCTCCTCACTTCAAGCAGTCAATTCCCGGAGGACATGGTATTAAGCTCTATTTTTTTTTTTTTTTTTTTTTTTTTTTTTTTTCAATTCTATCGACGGGATCCAACAGGCTAAAGAGTACCTAATTCAGTGGACCAGCTGACGATGGCGAAAAGAAAAGAAGGTCCTAAATTTTATACTTTATTCGCATCTAAACTACACTACAATTCTGCAAGGAAATCTTTCCTCATTATATGCCGATATTCAGTCATGTATTTGTGGCATCTTTATTTCACTGAATTAAAATCTTGAATATGCTTTGTTTTTCTATAAAAAGATTTTACCTATTGATTTTCTTTATGAAAAATAAAAAATATGCTACATAATCAAATAGAAGCTGGAATAAGTTTTATAATATCTTATAAAGAAACCTAAAAATCTCACGACATAAGCATCAATTGATAAAAGTAGTTCTTCATGTGGAAAACAAAAAATTCTTTCACGGCAGTTTTCACAGATCTTCAGTATATGGATATGTTGATTTTGACATTTAATATGGAACAGCAAATTATAATTGAATCATAGTCACATTCAAATTTATTTTAGAAAACTGAAAGTTTTTAATATTATTTATCAACTTATACTAATACTAAATCAAACATTACGCCACTCTGAACCTCTAGTTTGAAAGAAACTTTGAACTAATTTCTTCTTCTGTTCTCATTAATTATAATTAACTGATTAGATGACTGATTTCACCTTTCAACCGGATAACTAGAGTACGGAACAGAACAAAATAAGACCAATTTTATACTTTTCCTTTAAAAATGAAAACGAAAACACTTCCTCTGAAATAACATAAAAAAAGTGCGCAATGTTTCTCCTCCGAGAATGCATGTATTCTTGAGTAGTGTAATAGTATGCTGAGTTCAGTAGTCGTGGTTTGAGTTCAGAGATTTGCTAGAGGGTGACCGAACCGAGTCGGGAGTTGTACTTTAGTGCTTTGCTGTGAAGCGGTCTTCACCAGTGTGGCCCGAACGTTGTGTTGCTCATTGTTTCAGCGTGTTTATCGTAGTTTTTCGATGACTGTGAACGTGTCTTTGGAACTTTCCTTGTTGTACTGGCGAATAATTGTGTTTTGATTCTTCATCAAGTATTATCTTCAATTACTCCAAATCCACGAACACATAGAACGCAACAATACAATAAAATATATGCAAAGTATTTATGAATACATTAAATATGAGAGTGCACGTGACAGGCGTTACGTCATGGTACTTGAGCACGGAGGGTCAAAGTTGACATGGTAAAAGTAAATAGGGTATTAATTGGGACATACGACCCATCATTTTAGTCGAAAAAATTTGATAAACTCCCTAATAAAAGTAACAAAAGTAAAATCATACATGAGAGCAAATACATAAAAGTGTAAGTAAATCAGAAACTATGACGAGCAGTGCCCTGATTGGCTGAGTCGACTAAAGTCGTATTCAATTCAAGATTTGCATGATGCGAGAAGGGCTGTGCAAAGTACATGAAATTATGAAACAGAACATTGGTATTACAAAATGTAGTCAGCACAAATAGTATTGGTATGCATCAGAGCAGTAAGTAAAAAAGATAAATACCTACGCAGTGAGCGACGTTGTAGTCTGGATGAAAGTCGAATTAAAGTACATAAGTTTTACAAAGTCCAGGACGAAAGGTGATAAATGGCCCATCAAAATTTATTCAAAATTGAGATCAACATCATAAGGCAGTCATTTTGTGTCATACTACTGGTCGAAGAAATCTTGATCATTGGTATATACAGCAGGAGTTATCCACTAAGGGGAAATTTCCTCTTGGGGAGAGTTTCATAGTTTTCGTGTAAATGAGGTCAGCCTGACTGCATTTGCTTCCTGCTCGGCTGTTAACACTAGAAGCGCCGTTGGGGTCATTTTGACCTTTTTTTCCAATTTTCCACGTTTTTTTAACCTACAGCTGAGCTTCGAAGCTGATATTTTTTTACTTTTTCTAAAATGTTTCCAAGTATACTATGCCAATTTTTCATATTTCTACGTTAATTATTTAAATAAATAATCGCAGATATACCTAAAACAGCCAACTGGGGTCATTTTGACCCTCATAAGAAAAACGACATATTTTTAAGCGAATGTCCGTTTTCGAATTCCCGATGCCACGTTTTCGTTTTCTGCGCATTGGGAAACACGCAGCTCTTATCGCGATGACTCAGGGGAGAAAAATAAAATCCAGAACGGAGCATATTCTCTCTCCATTGCAATGCCGAGAGGAAGAGGATTGAGTACACAAGAGTGCCTTGCCCTCCTTGAACAGTTGGAATCAGATATAAGTGGTGATGATAGCAGTGATGAAGATTTTAACGTTGATGTGAACTTACAGAATGCGTCGCTCTCTGAAAGCAGTGATAGTGATGTCGAGGACAATTCTGGAAATGTGATCCCTATGCGGGAAGCCGGAAGCTCACGTGGACGTTGTCGTGGTCAAGGATGAGGCAACAACGTTGCTGGCAGCAGTAATGAGAAGTACTATACCTCATCCAGCGGTATTCTCTGGACCCCTATGAACCTTAGCAGCACCGCTTCCACTTCAGGTCGCACGCCAGCTCGAAATATTGTAACCACTGCAAGTGGACCAACGTCGTTTGCTCGTCGTAATATAGGAACAAACCCTGCTTCAGAGTGGTGTTTGATGGTGAGTGAAATCAATGGCGAAACACATTCAATCATGTACAGTTGCTGAGGCACGACTCCAAATTAGAGATGATAGTAACTGGTATGTTACTCTGGAAGAACTTGATGCTTTTTTTTGCTTTCCTGTATGCCCGTGGAGCACCATTCAAAACTTTGTGCAGATGATTTGTGGAACAAGAATTGGGGACCACCTGTGTTCAAAGAAACAACGTCACGCAATCGGTTCCGTGAAATAATGCGGTATCTCAGATTCGACGTCCGAAGCACCAGAGCTGATCGTCTCGCCACTAACAAATTTGCTCTCGCTTCTGAAACCTGGTACAAGCTAATGGAAAACTGTTATTTATGCTATAATCCTGGACCAGAAATAACCGTTGATGAACAATTGTTGCCTTGTAAATCAAGATGTAGATTTATCCAGTACATGGCGAATAAACCGGACAAGTTTGGCATCAAATTCTGGCTAGCAACTGATGTAAAATCCAAATATGTTTTGAATGGTTATCCTTATCTGGGCAAGGATGAAGAACGACCAACTAATTTACAACTTGGGGAAAGTGTAGTTCTCAAATTACTGCAACCACATCTAAACTCCGGACTCAATGTCACAACTGACAATTTTTTTACTTCTGTGAAACTTGCAGATGAACTTTCTGCGAAAAAAACCACAATTGTCGGGACGATGCGTCTGAATAAGCGAGAATTACCCCCTATTGCTCGTGACACTTCTTCGGCACGATATTCATCTTTTGCACTGAAAAATGGAGACAAAACACTCACAATATATAGGTGCAAGAGCAAAAGAATGTCGTGATTCTGAGCACGATGCACAGTAATGTGTTTGTTGACGACAGCATAAAGAAAAAACCGAACACTGTCACTTACTACAACAGTACAAAATGTGGCGTTGATGTCGCAGATCAGATGCTGAGGAAATATAGTACAAGTAGTGGAAGTCGCAGGTGGCCTGTACATGTTTTTTACAACGTCCTTGACATTGCTGCACTCAATGCTTGGATTATATTCAAAGAATCCTTGGGCACCTCTATGTCCCGTCGAGAATTTATTCTTGCACTCGTGGAAGAACTACGAGTTGGTGCACTACGCAACAGATGCCCCCCCAATTGCTCAAATACAGACACTTAAACGAAAGAAATGTGCATTTCAAAGTTGCAAGGGACAAAACAAGACTGTTGTCAGCTGTGAGGGATGCCAGAAACCAATTTGTGGTAAATGTGTTGCTGTCACTGTCAAGCGTTCATATTGTATCACCTGCGGTAATGTATAACAAACTTTGGAAAACATTGTGTGTTTATTCCCAATTTATGTTTTTTTGTAATTTTTTGCATATGTTCTATTTTCCACTTTTTGCATTTGTATCTTTTGTTTGTTTTTCATAGATTTTGTTTTTGTTTTTGTAATCTTACATTGAAAGATATTGTGTGCTAATTTGCACTAATTGCACGAAAAAAATTCTAAAGTATAAAAAATAAATAAAAACCTCTAAAAACTCTTTTATGTGGTCATTTCAGCATCATTTCAATCATTTACTGTGTTTCTACTTACATTTCTGAACATGAAGTACAATCGTTTGACAATATAGAGGCAAAAATGGCGAGAAGTCAGTTGCGGCATTCTAGGAAAAGGATTTTACTTTAGTTCAAAGCAGAAAAATGGGCTAAATTAAATAAAGGCCATATAATAATAGAGGGGAAAAAAAAAAAAAAAAGGGCCTATAGAAAGAAAAGGAAAAGAAGTAGAAAATATCCTAAAATACGATTTTGTCCATGAGTGTAGTTAAAAGGAGAAGAAACTGTCTTCATTTACAATAAATAGTGTCTCACAGGTGTGTGTGTGTGTAGTGAGTGTGTTTGGTAATGGTGAATAGATGTGTTACTGGGGAAAAAAAAATATTGACGGTGTTAAAATGCTACGTATCAAGGTATTTAGCATGGAATATAAAGTAATATGTATGCTTGCATCCTGAGATATCAACAAAAGTCATCAAACAAAAGTATATATTAATTTAACCAAAGTAACTTATGCTACTTTCATTCTCAACATTTTCATACATTTTTCAAAAAACAGCAGCAGACTAACAACATAGAACCAAATACAATACAAGACCACAACCGCACACACACACACACACACACACACACACAAAAATATATACATATATATAATCTTAAATCCATATAATATAATCAATTAATCAACTATTTAGGAAATAAATTATTATATATATATATATGTGTGTAAATTACTGAGTATATGTATTAAAAACACAAATTAAACAGTATTTATTAATTTAACTATCATAATTTATTACAAGATTAATTATTTTACTATCATAATTTATTACTAGTTAATTTATGTTAGTATAACACAAAGAGGCACACTGTTATTTATATAAGCTCATAGTTCTAAGAATTCATTTAAGGCGGTGAAGAATAAACCATCTCTTACATATGGACATTTAACAGATAGCAAAGAACAGTATGAGAAAAAAATCGGTGAGGTATAATATTATTTGAAGGCGAAACTATATTCAAGCGATCTAAAAAGAAAAGAGAATTCAGAAGATCCAAGAGGGAAATAGCGCGATGCCAAATTTTCCCTCTCATCCCCATATTTTCCCTCTCACGAGATTCCTAAAGGGCTTTGTAAGTGTTGACAGACGTGAACTGATAACGTTGGCGTGTGTTTGTAGTTGATACACAAAGGAAGCCACAAGCAATGAACAATTTCAAGTATTTTTAATGCTTTAAACTGATGAAAAATTAAGATTTATTGATTTAAAGGCACTTATTTATAGAAATTTGATTTAGTTTAGATGAAAGAAAAGTACGTATCTTAAAATTCCAGGCTGTTGGAGTATATCCTTACATTGTCCGCTGTTTTATTCTCGTCAACATCGGAGCCGAAATTCATCAGAATGATATAGGTGTTGTAGAAAAAAACATTTTTCAAAGTAATTTAATTGATAATAACCAAGGGGAAAGGAAATTTTTTCACTCTTTTACGGAGCGCAGCGATCGTGCTGCCGCTTGCCTCGGTGATCACTGCTGGAGCCCACTTACATTTCTTATGAGGGTCAAATTGACCCCCAATGGCGGTTTTCGGTTAGTCTGAAATTCGGCTATTCTAGTGTTAAAAAAATTATCTAAATCTAAATAAATGCATATGTATGTTTCAAGTTTTGGAAAGGGAGAAGAAGAATGATCTTCTAGCGATAACGAAAGGTGCGTGGGGCCAAAAAATATTGAGAACCACGGTATATGCTGTCTTTTCGGAACTGAAACACTTCTGTTACGCCAAAAGTTCTTTCGAAATACTGGTGAAAATAAGTATCGAGAAAAAAGAAGAGGTGCGAATCCCTCGAGTCCCCGGGATGAGTTCTTGATCAAAATGGAATGAAACTAAACAAAATCGCTCCACCTCCAGAAGTACACAAAGCTGTTCTTTTTCATCTCTCTCAAGAATCTTATGTATGAATCAGTATGAACTCTGGATCATAAATGATATTGAACGTTGGTTCTCTAAATAGCACGTAAATTTAAATCAACTTTTTATGTTTTTTTTCCTGTTTTTTACAGATGTTCTATCCCGTAGAAGACAAGAATTTGACCATTGGATACGGAGATATAATGGTAAGTTCTTGAAATCTAGAGACATATCTTACGGGTAATCATTATCATTTTTCTACTGGTCTTGGCATTTCTTTCTTGAACTTTTGTGCAATATAGTGATCAAAATTTAAATTATTTTCATATTCCAGGCTACCCGCTGCACTATGTACAATTTCCGAGACACAGACACATATATAGGGTAAGTAAACAAGATTTTATCATTAGAAAACCATTTGTTAAATTTTACAAAGTAATACACTAATGTTTGTGAAAATTGCAACACCATGAAGGAATTAAGCAAACTGAACCAAACTTAGTAAATGCAAAGAAAGGTAAGACATCAAATGATTAAAATTACAAAGCGATTGCGCATGCGTTGAATTAGAACCGGCCATTTGTTCCATGTACACTCATCTCCATAAATTAAGGATAATTCGGAGTCACGCGGAAATCGGACCCTAAAATAAATATATCACCTGTAAAATCACTACACACATCTTCAAGAATCATATGCAAATTTCAGGAAGTAACCAGATGACACCGATGGTACGTTACAATGATGAGAGTTTAAGAGAGTCATAAATAAGGAATACAGGCAAAGAATTAAAATTGTTCGCAGGCGCTTTATAAGCATCTCAGAGCAATAACCGAATAGTTATGACACAAAGGACGCAATTGGATGATTTTTTACGTGGTAGAATTATCGGCCTTCTGGAATGTGGGCGTACCCAACTGGAAGTATCAGACGAACATGGAATTGCCCAGAATGTCATTTCCAGGCTTTGGCAACGATTCCAAGATAATGGTAATGTGAATAGACGTTACAGCACAGGTTGCCCCAGACGAATGAGGACCGGTATTTGGCAGTTACTGCCAAAAGAAACAGGTGGAGCACAGCCGCCTGCCTTACACGGTCTGTCTTGAAATTGTCGTACCAGTGGCTGCCAGACCTGCCCCGTCAGCTCTCTTCAGCCACTGGTACGACAATTTCAAGGCAGACCGTGTACAGACGCTTAGGGCAGATTGGTCTATATGCTCGTAGACCTGTCAGATGCGTTCCACTTACTGCAACTCACTGTCGCCTGCGGTTAGCCTGGAGCAGAGAGCATGCATTGTGGACACCGCAACAGTGGGATTGTGTGATGTTTTCCGACGAGTCCAGGTTTAGCTTGCAGTCTGATTCTCGTCAGACTTTCATATGAAGATCTCCAGGTACCCGTTACCACCAAGAAAACATCAATGAGCGATACCGTTACGGTGGTGCAGGAGTGCTCGTTTGGGGTGGAAATATTCTGGGTTCCAGAACTGACCTGCATGTTCAAATTGGAACCATGACAAGCCAAATCTATCGGGACGCCATTCTGGAACAACATGTACGTTTGTTTCGGGGCGCCATGGGCGCACAATTTATGTTTATAGATGACAACGCCCGTTCTCCCCGTAAAAACACCGTAAGCGAATGCCTTCAATCGGAGGATATCACCCGTATGGATTGGCCAGCATTCTCACCGGACTGAATCCAGTAGAGCACGTGTGGGGCATGCTTGGCCGACGAGTTGCAGCCCGTCAACCTCCTCCTACATGTCTACTGGAATTTCGGAGAACTTTGCTTTTTGAGTGGTGTAATATCCCCCAAGATCCGATCGATAATTTGATACTCAGCATGCCTAGGCGTTGTAAGGACTGTATTGCATCGTCTGGGAGACATACAATGTATTAACAATGATACCAACTATGTAATATTGATTTTTTGTAAATAGGTTTTTTTGTAATTTGCTCCAGGGAGAAAAAATCGCTAATTTTTTTAATAATATCAATCTTTTTTGCTCTTTACCTTTTGTTTAATAAATAAGCTTTACAAATAAGTCAAATTTGTTTTGCTTCTAACTCTTCCTTTGCCTGATTTTGTATTATCCTTAATTTATGGACACGAGTGTATATAAAGGATTGTAATTTTGCATTGAAATATTTTTATAATCTTAAGTTGAAATCTGTCTGCAATGAACAGTTAATTAGCAGTCAATATGATTCGTCAACAGCGGAGGGTGCATACCAACAACCAACGAAGTTCGAACGAGGCCGCATCGTCTGTATGCAAGAGGATGGACTTTCGTATCAAGCGATCGCAGCCTGCACCCAGCGCAACGTCACAACAGTGATGCGTGTTTGGAAGAAACGAACAGAGGAGAACCAAATAAGGTGAAATCCTGGCAGTGGGGCACGCAGTAGCACAACGGCACAGGACGACAGATACCTCATCCGCATGGCTGTGACGTATTGTACAGGGTCCTTTCACAACGTTGGAGCGCGGCTACAGGTGTTGCCTAGCTACAAGGTTCATCGCCGCCTGCTACAGCATGAACTGCGTGCAAGGGTTCCTCTACACAGGATTCCCCCTTATTCACAGACCCCTCCAACTTCAGAGGGTATGACAAAACAGTACGTGGCGTGCCCTGTGGCAACAAGTTGTTTTCTCCGATGAATCTCTGGACGATATAGAGCACAATGATGGACGTGTTAGACGTTACAGAGGGGAACATCTGCTCCCACAATATGATATTCAGAGTCATACGGCACAAACACCTGGCATCATGGAGTGGGAAGCTTTAGGGCATAATTGTCGATCTCATCTACTGCAGATTGCGGGCAACATCAACAGTGATCGCTACATAAGGGAAGTTGTGGAGCCTTCCCCATTCCGGGCATTGTATTTTAGCAGGATAATGCCCGTGCACATGTTTCTCAGACTGCACAAGTCCTTTTTAGGGCACATAAAGTTTCGCTTCTTACATGGCCTTCTTATTTCCCGGATATGTCACCCATTGAGCATGTCTGGTATTTCATCAATCGGCGACTCCCCTCGTACAAAGCTGGTGGGGCACACACTAAGACTGAACTTTGGCTTCAAGTTGAAGCCATATGGAATGCCATTTCCCAGGATTACATTCAGAACCCGTATGATTATGAACCCGACGTGTATAGGCTGTCATCACTCATGTGTATAGGCGGCAGACATACAAAGTACTGATTTCCGATGTTCGTTTTGTTTTTTGGGCTTGTAAATTTGAACGTTTATTGTTACTATTGTCAGTAATATGTGGAATAAATTTCATTTATTTCCAGCAATTCCTTCACAGTGTTGCATTTTTCACAAACATTAGTGAAACTTCAGAAGTTATGGTCATCGATGATCATTCTGTGTAAGTGTAGAAATATTCGAGATTAAGCTACCATTCTGGTATGCATTTCCTGCAGCTATTCAGAATTATTTTTCTCTGCTATTTATCTCTATTCGAGGCCTGGTGGCGCAGTGGCTAGCGCATCGCGCAGCAGCACCACAGGTCCAGGGTTCGATCCCCGGGCTGGGCAAGTTCGACTCAGCCTTTCATCCCTTGGGTCCATAAAATGAGTATTAAGTTTGCTTGGGGACTAAACACTGGGGGTCCTGCGAAAAGCTGACAACTTGTTCAGGGCATATGCTTACGCACCCCGGGGCCCACAGTCAAGAAAGCATATTTCGGGGCACTACAGGCATTGGCCCACTAGGGCTGTTACGTCGCTGAGTTTTTTTTAGTATTTATCTCTATTCACTGGCAGACTTCCGATGGCTTTATTTGTACCATTACTTCCTAAAGAAGCTTCCTGAGGGAGTAGCGAAATTGTCAAATTTAAATATGCATTTATGCCTTCGGGAAGGCTCTATACAAGATTTTCCTGTATATTTATGAATAAACCATTAATTCATTTTATTTTGAGAGAAGGTGTATGAAATTTTCAACTTTGGCATACATGCTTAATCCACTCTTTCAACTCGAAATGTATGTTGTATGTTTACCAAGACCTTAAGATAGGCTATACCACATTTACAACAGCAACAACATTATTTAGACTATTCTTTCCGAATTGGAAGAAAAAATGCACTGTAAGGTGTAATGTAATGTCCATATTTTATCACAACAAGAATGGTTTGTCACTGTTACTTTCATTTTTCATCAACAAACACAATGTTTCAATAACTTTAAACTATTAAACTGAGTGAGTAGCTTGTCTCCCAGAATTTCCTTCTTTGTGCTAATCATATGACTGGAAATTTAAATAGTTTTAATCTGATTCATATTGGTTAATTTTGGTTAAGACTATATTCATCTTTATATTCATGCAACGTAACTATAACAATTATTGAGTAGCATAAATAATGCTAATTATTATTATTAAAAAGTGTAAATCGTGTCGCAGTATCATTGCTGTTCAACTAAATATGCAGTCAGCCATGAAAATTAGAAGTCTCTTATTTATACTAATTGATTTATCTATGTATATGCTGCAATAACAATTTCGCCACATTAAAAAGGCGAAATTTGAAAATAAAGAAAAAAAATTATTATCCTGGAAAGAAATGAGAGAGCAGCTCTCATGTAATCACAAAATGAAAAGTCTGAAATCAATAAATTATGTATAAATTGCAAATATGCCAGTCATATAACAAGTAGCTATAAAATAATAGTCAGAGGACGAGTCCCAATGGATTGGAATATGGTGGCTGCTCTACTGCTTATAACATAGAAATGGAAAATCTAATCCTCAGCATTAGAGGTATCATTGGTGCCATACACTAAATTTAGGAAACTTTTTAAGCTATAAGCAAAATGAAATAAATAATAAATAACTTTATATGTGTAAAATCCTGAAGTGACTGCAGGCTGAAAGTTTAATTTTGAGGTCCTCTCTCTGACTACAGATATATCGACCTAGTAAACATCATTATTACATACACATTACAATTTAAGCCAAACAATCATAAGTAGAATTTATGCATGGCTATTACAATAATTAAATACATAAGAATTATAATAGGCAATTTGAAACAGTTACATGTAAACAGGTGATTATAAGTACAATTCAGTTTCTTTAAAAATAATAAATTCTATTAACAATGAGATGGCAGCTCTATCCGTAAGCATAAGCTTTAGCAGCTTCTCTTCAGACAGTTGCTTGTGGAAACAATTTTGTTTTTCACTTTTGTATTTGCACTATAGGATCGTAATCTCTTTGGTAACATAAACTCTGTTAGATCCTACTAAGGAACTTGGCAACTTCTCGCACAGGTAGAAAGAATACAGTCAAAAATCGTTAATTCGGACACCCATAATCCAGAATGATCTATAATCCGGACCTCAAAGCTAAAAACTTTCTGCGCATGCGCCGCATTCACACATGCGAATTGGCGTTTACGCGTGCGCGTAAGACCTTTACGCGCACGCGCATATGCGTGTGCGCAAGCGCAGAATACGTTTTCGCGTGCGCGTTTAACGTATAACGGACGGTATATGCTAAAATTATACAATTATCTATTTCAGTTAATGTTGATGCTTGCGTTATTCCTTAATCTTCGAATTGGATGCAGCTTATTATTTTTTGCAGAGTGTAAGAGCAATTTTATAAAAGTAAACTTGAACTTTCGATTATGTCAATTTCCGATTCTGGAGCTCCCAAAGGATCTACAAAACGAAAGTATGTCTCGATGTCCGTCAAACAAAAAGTGGAATTGCTGCAAAAAATGGATAAAGACATGAAGAAGGTGACAGAGAGGTTAGTGAAAACGAAAAAATTTCGATTGACAAGTTAGTCGGTATTCTCGGCACAGCAATTACGGGACTTGAACAGCGGAGCTTTTTAACTGAACAAGAAATTATGTCTGTTTATAGAATTAAAGAGAAAGTATTATCACATAAAACGAAACAACTTACATTGAAAGAAATGTTTAATAAAGTAAACAAATAAATATTAAGCTTCTTTTTTTTTTTTTTGTAAATTTTGATACCCTTTAGATCATAATTGTTCTTTATTTCCTAAAATACGGTTTCATATTTTTAATTTTAGAATTCGTGCATGCCATCTTACGAGATTTAAACTGATGATCTATAATCCGGAATCGCCGAAGTCCCGACGAGTCCGGATTAACGACTTTTGACTGTACCAGCAAAAAGAAAGGTAGAATATTATTCATCAAACTCTGAACAGAAAAGCCACGTGCCTCGTGCTTACAATAACACCGTCAATTTGCGGTGGAATTTAAGAATCGTTACACAATAAATTCAAAAGATAAAGAGTAGTTCCGGACTAATAAATTAAATTAAGGTTAACTAGGTTGACTCAAAAACCTAACCGGCATTATACTTATTAAATGGACAGTATTTCAGCAACTCCGTGTAACAGCAAGGACAGATTCCTAACATGCACTAGCTAGCGAAAACTACAAGATTCACCCATTTAAATACTAACTTAACTTTAAATTTGCATTCTGGAAGGAAATGCGAGGGGGGAAGAGCTTCAGGAAAGGTGTCAAACTTAAAATAATTTGTTATGCAAAATAAGGGAAATCCTACAACAATCAGACATTCTATGATCACATAGAGCATCTGCCACCGCGTTCCTACAACTGCATGAGCAGTAGGTGCCTTTTAGATTAAAGCTGTTAAAATATTTGGGAAACACACCATGATTTGTAAATACTTGATTCAGAAAGAACTCTGAGAAATGTCTCTTCACTGAGATTTTGGGAAAGAATTTAATTTGGTTCTTCCAGTTACGCCATTAGGATTATGTAATTTCGTAAGATCTTGCATTCAATTACACAGTTTAAATAAATTTCTAATTTTGCTAATTCGCCATCATTTTCGTTTTCAGGGAAACCTTGGTGCCCTCAAATACAATCCGAATAGAGTTCAAAGCCGCTATTCTGTGGAGAACTTAAATCCCACTTAAACACTTTAATTTTGACTTATAACACACAGACCAGTTCCTAAGTCATCTACAGATGATTTGCACATCACACCTTCAAGGTACAGATTTTGAAGCGGGGACCACGTAGTTCTAGTGGCTCCTTGATTGCTCTGAGTCGAATAAGCTTCGGCGCCAGAGTATTCTGACCCGTTCAGGACATATGCACAATGCACCTAATATAGCCCACCGACGCGCAAAACACAAACAGTATCACTGCAGTAATTACGTGAAATTCTGACTTAGAGACGTTCAGTCATAATTCCACGGATTGTAGCTTCACAACACAGGCACATCTCCCAAGTGTCCAAACCTGCAGTTCCTTAAGTTAAAATAGGCCCGTGTGTAAGTCAGTATCATTGTGGTAATTACTGCCACAATGTATTCGAAATTAGGTTTTAGATCCTTGCACATATCCTGTGTATCGTGTTAGAGAATACAAAATACCATTTTTACAACAATATAATTTTATTTAGATTGTATTTACGTGCACCTTCCCGCATCTAAGGCTGATTCAGATGGTGGTGTAAATGTCGTAAGTGGTTTAAGCCGATCTTCATTGCTAGGTAGTTAAACCTTGCTATGTCACAAAATTTGGTTTAAGGATTTTTGGCATAAAGTTTTCAAGTTTATACCGACTTGGTTTAAGAGTCGACCAATCATAGTGAACAAGCAAAGTCTATAGACAGATCCACACATGCGCAAATTTAGCTTTTGTCATTGGCTACAGTTTGCAGCCTTTCTTGTTGGTAGGAACAGAACTCCTGCATTTTATGCCTTATGACTATGCCTCTATAACATTTATACCACCGTCTGAATGAAGCTTTAGATTCCACTGAACATACTTGTGCTTTACACAAGCTGCGCGTGTGCAGTGACAAGATATTATTACAAAAAACACTTGGCAAGTATTGCCATCCGTTGAACAAAATAGAAACCTATTTCCAATAATCATAATGAATGCTACTAACAAAAGGTTACAGCTCACTGCTCCGCCATCACTTGGGGTTTGTGGAATGTACAAAACATTACCATCACATTGCAAATATTCCACCAATTTTATCAGTATATTGGCATTTGTTTATTCACACGTTTACTGCGATTATAGATATGGAAAATTCCATTAAAGAGGTAGCGAAGCTCTTGTTTATATCTAAAGGACTCTCAACTTCTGTCTTTTTCTACAGACAATTCGACAGATTAGAGGCAACAAAAGCTAATATAAAACTGCCAAAATATGGATTTATTACATTCAGTGCTGTATAAAATACGCTCAATGATACTATTTCACTCAAACCTTGATGAATTGATAATTGATAGGACTCCTGAAGGATGTAATTCCTCAGCAGCAGCAGATGAATAATCCATATCTATGTCCTGAATAATCCTGTCTCCCTTCTAGTTCTAGAGGTGGCAACTTCTCACTCTAGCTCAGTAAATCGTCATCATGATATCCTAGACTTTTTTATTTCCACTTTTATTGGATGTTTCTACTGAAAACTCATGTGCTAACTTTTGCTTGTTTCTTTTCCAGATACAGTAGTGACGATGAAATGTGCACCTACTATATAATGTACTACATTAATGCTGATCGAACGTTGTCCAAGAATATCTGCTTCACAAGTGGACCTCCTGACTACTATTGGTCCACTGATTCAAACATTAACTATGTTCCTTGGAGTATAGACATAAGCGCTAGCTCATTAGAAGATTAAAAGAAATTTTGAGCGCTTGAAGTTTGGAACTAGAGAGTGGAATTTTTGTCACCGTAAAAGAAGCAACTTCATTCAATATTGTTTTGAAGAAATTTGGTGTACAACAATTTCTTCCATTCTCAAATTTTTAAACTTTGCTGTCTTGGTTTCAAGGATATTATTCAATTTTTAAATAGTTTCACTTAAGGATATTTTACTGTAGTGGAGACAACTATGCAAACTTCAGTAATGGTGACTTAACATTATCTTTAATAGTACTGTATACTTAATCGCTTTGATCTCATTTTCTTGTGAAAATAGTGCTACTTTAAGAATGATAACTGCATAGCATTTGTACTTTCAAAACCTTTTGCTTAAATGATTTATTAAAGCAGCATATTATTTTAATGCATAAGTTAGAGACTTGTATTAAAAAGGACTGGGAAATGATACTGCAATCTAAAATAGATTGTAATAATTATTCTTATAACAGTTTCGAATAAAATAAATGAGTTAAAATAATTAAAAATGGAATATGCACACATTTCCCTTTCATCCCCCCTTTTTTTTATATTCTAAGGGTATATTCTATCACTAAGAAATGAAGATATTTATTTTCCACTTTTTAAAAGTGCTAAGAAAAAAAAGTATTAGTCTTCCCTATTTTAGGAATAATTATTTTCTTAAATTTGCTCATTTCATAATAGTTGCATAAATAATTCGTAAAGACAATTAGCATTTATTTTTCCTTTCTAACTTATTAGAGTGAAAGTACTGTGTTCCATATATTACTTCCATAACTAACAAAATAAGACAGTTTTACAAGCATTTTGATTTGTTTTTGATGTGATATATTCTATATTTAAAATAGATGCAGCAGGTTCTAAGGAGCTTTCTTAGGAATACATGTATTGTGGATGCTGAGTCAATACATGGGATAATTTAATAACTTAAATGATAATTGCAGAATGGATTAAGCATATTTTAGTTTACAATAGTAAAAGAAGACTTAAGGATTAGAATATCAAAGTGAAATCTTTTTTATTTACATTTCTTTGGCTGTCAATATACAGAAGCTTAACATCACAATAACAAAGCTAATATTATATGTAGAGGGAGCTGCTACAAATGATATAATATATATCCACCTTTAAAACAGATATAGAATTTTGCAATGTAATTTTATATCAAATTGTTGGGTAGGGGATTCATAAAGACTGCCACATAAAGAGAGGTTTGCTATTTTAATTATAAAATAATATGTTTTGTGCACAAAATCTTGAACTATGTAAATAGCAGTGAATAAAGGGGAAAATATATACAGTCAAAAGTCGTTAACCCGGACTCGTCGGGACTTCGGCGATTCCGGATTTGGTTGAACAATAATGCATGGTACTACTAGTACGTCATTCTTAGCTATAAGAAACATAAAGGCTTGGCACCAGACAAATACAGTCAAAAGTCTTAATCCGGACTCGTCGGGACTTCAGCGATTCTGGATTATCGGTTTTTCCGGATTATAGATCATCAGTTTAAATCTGGTAAGATGACATGCAGAAATTACAAAATTAAAAATATGAAACCGTAATTTGAAATAAAGAACAATTATGATCTAAAGGGTATCAAAATTTAAAAAAAAAAAAAAAAAAACTTAATATTTTTTTGTTTACTTTATTAAACATTTCTTTCAATGTAAGTCGTTTAAGTTGCTTCCTTTCATGTGATAATTCTTTCTCTTTAATTCTATTAAACAGATATAATTTCTTGTTTAGTTTACAAAGTTCCGCTGTTCAAGTCCTATAATTGCTTTAAATCATATCAAAGACGGAGTACATCGACATGAAATACTACATTTAGTAAGGAATTATAAGCCAAATAAAATAAAAACATCTGCCGTGAAGATAAGGATAGTGCTGACAGATCAACTTCCAATTCATTACGCGTCACAGCGTTTCCCCCCCTCCCCCGCCGCAGAGCAGCGTGAAATTGATAAACAGATTTCGGATTTCGAAACATACTTTCGCTTTGTAAATCCTTTACATATTAGTAAATATATATCAGAAATTCTATTTGACATAATCGAAAGTTCAAGCTTACTTTTATAAAATTGCTCTAACAATCTGCAAAAAATAATAAGTCGGATCCAATTCGAAGATTAAGGAACAACGCAATCTGCAACATTAACTGAATTAGATAATTTTAGCTTACCTTTTACCATCCGTTATACATTAAACGCGCATGCGCACACATATATTTGCAGCCGTAAAGGTCTTACGCGCACGCGTAAATGCCTATGCGCATGCGTCAAAGTTTGTAGTTTTGAGGTCCGGATTATAGATCATTCCGGATTATGGGTGTCCGAATTAACGACTTTTGACTGTATAAGAAAAAATTTTAATAAAATTCGAAAGATTTCAGATTTTTAATTACGGCAAAGGGTTTTTTTTTTTTTTTTTTTTTTTTTTTTTTTTTTTAACATTTTTTCTGTTACATTTATTTATTAAATATCACGTTCTTCGCACTTAAACCATAAGATTCAGTTCAAGAGCGATATTGCAAAATAGTTTTAAATTGAGCATATCTTTAGAATTTCTGATATGCGGTCTCACGAGCTGGAGATAAAAATGTTTTTTTCTGTACAATGTTGCTATTGCTCGCTTTGAAATCCTTGAGATTGTTAATCAAAAATTCGTTAGATTTACAAAATATGAAATCAATAATATAACAAATTTCAAATTTGGGCTTCCACATGCCCATATTCACAGTAGGATTACATTTCAGAACTGCAGAATATAGTTTAAAATATTATTTAAAACAATTCAGCAATCATAATACTATGGTGGTTAATAGATAATATTAGTTATTTATAATGAATAAGACAATATTGAATGGGTTAAAGATGATAAAACTGTGGAACACTTAACTGACACAAGCAATTCAGCAAGTAAAATAATAAATAAAATAAAATAATAATGGATAATACAAAAGAAGCAGTTTCAATTAATATAATTTTTGCGCAAAACTAAAAGTTTTAACATATTTGTGAAATTTGCATGATATACAAAACAACATTGAAAAGTAAAAATATCCAAATTTTCTGTTATCATTTCTTAATAAAGAGCTCAGTCTGTGAAGCAGATGGACATTCCAAATAGCTTCATGCAATATAAAACATAAATTGATTATAAATATCACATTATGCATGTCCTATTAATTACTTTTTGTATGTATTTAATCATTAAACATATTTGTAGATTTACAATAGGTTTAGTTCTGCTTAAAGTTTTTTAATTTATACATAATATTTAGAAAATACTTTTTGCTACATTATACAGATGTTGATAATTCAGCATGCAGAAGTTCAGACATGCAGGTTATTAATTGTTTTCTACACTATATTTAAATTAACACACTGCACACTTAAGATAATTATGAATTTTATAATGGTATTTAAAGGGGCTAACGTCTCATGTTTGGATGAAAATGATAGTTAATATCATTCCAAGAAAGAAATCAAATGTTATTCATTCTTTAAATAAATTTAAAGATGCTCACAAACACCAAAACACATTTAAAAAATCATTTTATTTTACAAAAAAAAAAAAAAAAAAAAAAAAAAAAAAAAAAAAAAGACCTTTTATTACAAAAGGAATATAGATGGTATAATAATATGTAGAAGCACTATGTGTATTATTTTTTTTTTAATATACATTGTTCTCCATCTAAGCTTTAGCAGCTCCAGATGAGCCCATTCGTTGTGGATCCTGAGAAGGATAGTGAATGGCAGGTTTGGATGGTGTACTTGTTTCTTCAGATGCAGTTGTGGTAGGCTGTGAGGGTAATGGAGGCGGAGGATAAGAACCAGGTGGTCGTAAACCAGGAGGCATAGTCACAGGAGGAGGTCTCATAGATACACTTCGATGTCTCATGTATTGCAATGAAGGAGGAGGAGGTGGTGGCAATGTGAAGCCCATACCTGTAATGGGAATAGAAATTATATATTAAAAGAGACTCTCAAATTAAAATCACGGTATTTGAATCTAACATAACGCTACCACATCCATATCAATTGAGATTTAAAATTGAAGAACTAAATTATCTTTTGAAAATATTACCAATGAAATTTAAACTACTTTAAAACAAACTATTCAAATATTAAGACTACTCAAAATAATTACTTTTGCAGGATTCTAATTTTAAAGCATCAACACTAAAGTATTGCATAATTTACGCAGAAATTTAGGCCTACTTATGGTAGTTAGAAAAGGAACATGTTAATTTTAAACAAAACTGCAACCTTTGACTGGATAGACTTTAAGTAAAATTCTACCAGTTTTAAGGGGGATTTAACAAAGATCCTGGGTATTTTCAGCATAGACAGCAAACACAAAATAAGCATAATGATATCTATTGAGCAAAAAAGCAATTAAACAAGAAAAAGATATACCATTTTTGAAAATGCTGGTAAACCTGGAGTGAAATTAATGTCATTAATTTTAGAGAAGGCACATTATTATGAAAAGAAAGGATTCAAAGAAATCCAATTTTTCACCTGGAGGAACGTTAAGGACAATTTTAGCACAATCAAAGTCAAAACTGTGATATATGACCGACAATTATTAATGAAAATTTTATAGTATCTCCTTTTGGAGGCACATGATTACTGTTGAATTTTAATTTCTTTAAATCTGATTGATATATATCAAATCATAAGACAAGAAATACTGCAAATTCCTTCATAAAAATCAAAGAAAAAACCTTTAAGAACCAAGTAATGAATTTTATCGGGATAGATGCAAAAAACGATCTGAAATATGAAGATGTAGGGAACTGAAACAATTTTGTAAATGATTTATATATAAAATGGGAAGACAACATGGTTATCATGATTATTTTTAACAGCAGAATATTTTCTATAATGCAAGGGTAACTTTTTAAAGGCTTTATAAATAATTATGTGAGAAATTTTTATCAATGATAAAAGATTTCAAATGACCAAAATCCTGAAAAAGAAAAACCTTCTGAAGAATTAATCTTAACAGCCTGATAAGCAAAAGAAGATATCATTACGTCATTATAAGTTTCATACATGATTTGAATATGTGGAGGCAAGTAAACAGAAAATGGTTTATGATAGTATATCAAATTTATTACGATTAATTAGAATAAAAGTTAACATAATTTGTTTTTAAGCAGTTGTATAATTTAAATATATTAACTGCATCCAAGAAAAATGGTAATGAGAAACTGATAACACAAAGCACAATTTTTAAATGTATGTAACAGTATGTTGTTAACAGTGGTGAATAAGAAGCCCATATTGTGAATTTAGTTTAAGTATTATGCTAGCAAGTTATTTATTTAAAATTTTATTCACTTAAAAAAAGAATAACATACCAATTGGTGGTGGACCTCTTAACATTGCCATAGGAGGAGGGTATGGTGGAAGAGGTGGTGCAGAAGACAGCATTGATGGCGTAGGAGGTAAATTGAAATAATTATTAGCCAATTCTTCAGGAGGTGCTGGAAGAGCTAAAAAATATATATGCATATTTTATCTCTTTAGAAAAAAAAAAAAAAAAACACTGTACTAATAATAATAATAATAAAAAGTTTATTCTTGTCTTAGAAAACACTTAACATGAATATACTGCATTTCTTCAATTACATTACTTTTACCTATACATACATCAATATAATAACAATATTTATCAGTCATGCTACATTATGGTCCCAGCTCGGGTATCCTCGATATTAGGTGGGAAGTGAGTCATGCAAATCCTGCCAAGAGGTCCCAATTTGAGAGGGCAGACTTTCAGCAAGTTTCTCTCCAAACCAACACTACACTGACCAGTCCAGGTCATCACTTCCAGTGGTGGGAATATAAGAGCCTAGACAACTGACTGGTCATCAATCTGCTACCCACCAGGATTATACGGCTAACTAAAAGCTTATGCCTGCTAAGTTGGAGGCTAACTAAAAGCTTTACACAGGAATTATGCCAACTTTCTCAGACTGGGCCAATGGAGATTTGGCTCAAGATATTTCTCAGCAAGATAAATGAAACCTCCAGGCTTGTGTTTTTATACCCTGGTACTGAGACTGCCACAGTAAAAATCCCTGCTAGTACAGTAAACAATTGCTGAAAGGGGGGCAAATAATATCCCAAGTGCAAAATATACAAGCCATTTCATTATATAAGACAAGTTAAATGAATTCTGCAAAGAAAGAAACAGTAAAGACTGCAGTGAATGAAAGAAATATCAAAATGCAGTTTCTAAAATTCTGAAATAGCAATTTTTCTTCACAGAAGGCATCAAGATTCAGGTCATCAAATACTTATACTAAAAATAACAAATAATAATAATATCCATCATTAATGCGCATTAGCAGAAAAGGCTAGAAATTGGTTTCTCATACTCTTATACAGAACCAACAATTGCAACACGTTGCAATCTTCACTACTGATATAAAAATGACCCTTTTTTGAACACAGAATCACAGGTGATGAAGTTAAGAGTGCTTTATATTCATGATAAAAAATTATTCATCAAGAAATGCATCAGTTTGTATTGTTAAACTAGAAAACAAACTAAAATGTGTCGTAAATATATGTTTAAATCTGTCACAATTTAATGTTGAATTTCAAAACATTTTTTTAAATTTTAGACTATTAGATAATGCACTGTTTGCAGTTTTTCAGGTTATATGTTAACTTTTGCTACTTATTAATATTGTACCCACATGAATATTAGTTGATTAAACTAAACAGGAAACAGAAAATAAGGTAGAATCAGGAATCTCAAATAAATGGAAAGTCAAAATTTAAAAAATATATATGTGATATTTTAGCAGTCGTGAAGCCTGGCATCAGTGTTCAAGCATGGCTTTTTGCAGAGTGGTAAGGAGAAATCCAATGAAGACACCAAATTGATTTAGCTTTTAACTGTGCATCTTTACTCTGTATCTTTAATTCAATTATCACTGTAGATCATTTATTTGTTACTAAATAAGAGTATTTAAACTTTAATGCGTCATAACTTATTCTAACAAAGAGAGCAAGTGCAGTAGCGTAGACCCTAAAGGCACAGAGAGAGGAAAGCTTCTTCTGACGCAGGGCATTCGTTATTTATAGTAGCGGTTATGTAATAGGCTAGCAAATTCTAGAAGGTACTGGTCTAGAGGGAAGATCCTGAATTGCAGAAAGTTAATTAAAGGTTGCATGTTTGCGAAAAGCAAAGCCATCGTATTTTTTTATATTTTACATATATATATAATAAAATTAAAATTTTCTTTTCAGATGCTTAACACATTTAATACTAAATTACGTTAAATTTACAGTCTTTGATTAATATTATTAAATCTATATAGTAGAAATGTCGGGATATTCAATACTTATTATTGATTAATGTTAAAATATGACCATGAATGCTTATTACAATGGTAATGATTGAAGGATACCATTTAGAAATGCACTGAAAATTATATTACCTTCAGCAATGGATACCAACATAATTCTCTACAGTATAAACATTGTATATTTTGGTAGAAAGACTAACAAAAGACTTTAGACTTTACATATAACCTTATTTATAAACCTTATACACCTTACATATAATACATTTAAATGTTATATATATTATTATACTATACAGTTCAAATCCAAACTTGTGTACAAAGATGTTTAAGACATATTCCAAACACATCTGTACAACAAATATCTAAAATTACATTCTCAGTTGCCGCCATAGCACCATCTGCCTAGAATGTACCTAGCACAGTAATCTAATACGCATCAGATTTCAGCAAAGGAAAAAAAAAATATCACAGCCTTTAAATCATTTCTAAATGGTATCCTTCAATCATTACCATTGTAATAAACTATGCAAACACTACTTCAGTTTTTCAAACAAAAAGAAGTCACTTGGTGACAGGTCTGGTGAATATAATGAATGAAAGAAAAGCTGAAATCTACATTCCTGAATAGCAATCTGGGAACTATGAGCCCTGTGAGCTAGAGCATTGCCATGCAATAGAAACATTTTACTGTTGAGTTTTCCTCGATATTTTACCTTTATGGCTTGTTGGAGCTAAATCAATAGGTCAGCATAACCTGGCACATAATAACAAACTGTGGTCTGTCTCTTCTTGCCAAAAATAATGACCAAAATTTTCCTGCAGACTTCTGGATTCTAAACTTATGGTAGTTAGATGTATTGTGTTTTCACACCATGCTCTAGTTTCATTTCTGAGCTTCACCCTGAAGCCATGCTCTCTCCTCTGACAGGCTATGAATTAAAAACTTTATTGGCATTTATAATGGACAACTGTTCTTGAAGGCATTTCATGTAGTGTTTAATTTCTCACATCAATGTTCTGAGAATCCAGCAGGCAAAGACTTTGATGTCTTCTATATTTCATGCACGAATTTTTTGCCCCAATGCTCATACTCATTTCTGTAACGAGTTGAAAAACCATCAATCATCTAACTTTCCATAACGCACTTCTCGATTTTAACAAACATTTCTCCACACCCTGCAGGCTACTCTGTGTTCATCTTCTAGTGATGTTCTTTCCAGTCTAAACATAAGAACCCACCTTTTAATGGTGATAAAGGAAAATTGCTGCATCACAATAGATTGCAACCATGCTTTCACAAATACATGTTATAGCTTCTTTTGTCAAGAACTCAATTAATGAATGACATTTGATATTTTCAATATTAAAGGACATTACTTATTGATAACATTTGTTAGCTTCTTAATTTTCCATATTTTGATCTCACAACCACTACGTCATATTTTAGGTTTATAACTTATCATATGATTCTCATATATGAAGAACATCAATATGCAGTCTTCTCTTCCATACAAACCTTACTGAAATTTGTTTCATTCTACTTAAAATTATCTTAATTGATAAAAAATTTAAACTATTCAGTAAAATTTGGGAAGAAAAAGGACAAAATTCCAAAATAACAAGATTTTACAAAACTGGCATGAACATAACAATTTAATTAGGGTAAGCTGAACTTTGGAATTATTTTTTTACTAACATGATAAAAATATTTAAAAGTGTTTTTAAAACACTCAATACTTTCAGAAGTGTACTTCAAATTACGAAAGTTTCAACACATCAGAAACTGAACATTGAAACATTATTTTACAAAGAAATGAGTTATTCTCACCATCAGGTAAGCCTGGAACTGGTTCCAGATTCTTAGGTTCTGCTTCTTTAGTTCCTCCAGTACTTATTTTGGCTTGTGATCTGCCCCATTTTATTGTAAGTCTCCTTCCACATAGAATTAATTTATTGAAAGCTTTCTCTGCAGCTAATTCTGCTGCATTCCTTGTAGTAAACTGGATAAAAGCACACTGCTGTTTGCTTAGTAATGTAATGGAGCGTATTTCTCCATACTGATAAAAATGATCTCTAAAATTAAAAAAATAAAAAGATAAATAAACTGCTTAAAACTTCAATAATAATGTAATGCAATTTCACTCTAGAAAAAAACGAACACTCTGTTAAATGTTTTCTTTCTTTTTAGCTGTTACATCATGGTTAGAATATTTTGTCTATTTGTAATGGTGTAACGCTTTCAGTGTCAGGCAATGTTAGTGGCAACTAGTAAGCTATAAATATGCACACTCTCAAACCATACAGAGTAATTTTCCCTTTGCCTGGCCAAAGCAACAGCAAACTGTTACATTAAATTGCAATTCTTACTCACGCCTTTTCCCATTTAAGTGACATTATGTATTAAAGAGAATAAATATTGCTAAGGTTTTTAACTTGACTTTTAATGAAATCATATACAGTCCATAACCACATGCTATCAATATTTTGGTCCTAACCAACCCGAAGAGATATCTGTAACTGTGGATAATCTTATATCATTGAGTAGGAAACTTGGTTGTCTATGCATGACTTCATTGAAAATGAAGAAAGCATATTATTTCTAGAAATGAAATTTCAATCACTATCTGGAATAAAGTGATCCTTGGATGAACTAAAATTGCAGTACTTTAATCTACCAGCAGAGGTGACCATAAAATGGAATCCTATGAAGTCATTGAAAATCTAGAGGACAATCATCAAAAAATGGAGGTAAGTCTAAAATACCTTCTTTCAAAATTAAAAGTTGATAAACATTTAATACAACAAACTTTTAAAACAACAAAAAATATTGCCAGCATTGAATAAAACTATTGAAAATATTAATGTTAAACTGCCTGAAATGCCTATACCTTATTTCTCTGGAAAATATCAAGTATTTCATTATTTTAATGCCAATTTATGTCTTTTATTGCTGAAAATAAGAAACTAAGAGACACACAAAGGTTGCTCTTAAAGAAACAAAAATAAAGATGCATATTAATCATTCTTTCAGAAATTAGAATTATGGTATGAAAATAAATGAGCAATAGTTGAGAATTGTATATAAAATAAAGAGAGAATTCAACAAGAATTAGCTAAGAAACTTTGCTGGTTATCAGATAACATTAGTGCAATCTACTCGTCTTGAAGGCCTCACAGCATGACCTCGATAAGCTATCTAATGCAATATTAACGATATTCTCCTTCAGAAGACTGACAAAGATACTTGAAAGCAATTTCAGCTGTTTCTAGAATGCAAAGATATAAAATTACTGGAAGAATTTTAAAGTTTTCTTGAAAATCAAACTTTGGCACTAGAAAATATTCATAAAATTATGCCTATCAAACTTCCGCCAACCTGATATAAGTGCAAAACTAAAACGTTTTATCATAAATTTGAATAATTCCAACACACACAAAAAAATTATCCATTGTAAATAAAGGAAATCATATTCTTTGTAAATGTAATGCATTCAAATATATGATTTTGAGAACAGACTCATTATTGTCAAAAATAACAAATTATGTATGAATAGTAAAAAAAAAAAAAATATTCCAGAGAATGCAACTGAAACTTTTCATGCAGCAGCTGCTTCCAAAAACTTAATTCCCTTCTCCACAGAGACAATGATCTTTGCTCTGTCTTGGTGTCTTGGAACTGTGCTAGTGTTAATAAAATAAGACTATGCCTAATTTGCATAAAGAATTTATGAATGAATACTTAAGCTTAAATCACATGGAATCTGTTGGGCTTGTGGATAAATGTGATGCTTGTTACTACATTCCCATCACACAGTATACAGCCCAGAGAAAACTTCACCTTGATTAAGAGTTGTTTACGGTGCATCATATAAATCATCCAGTAGCTATTAAGTTCAATTCTATTAAACAGAGGAACAATTCAATACAATTCACAATTAAAATGACATTGCTGAACAAATAGTTTTATTAACTTTAACTGTGAAAATTTGAAAATGCGATGCTGATTTTTGATGCCCCAGTTCAAGTTTATAGGTTTGAACAATAATGCATGGTACTACTAGTACGTCATTCTTAGCTATAAGAAACATAAAGGCATTGGCACCAGACAAATACAGTCAAAAGTCTTTAATCCGGACTCGTCGGGACTTCAGCGATTCTGGATTATCGGTTTTTCCGGATTATAGATCATCAGTTTATCTGGTAAGATGGCATGCAGAAATTATAAAATTAAAAATATGAAACCGTAATTTATGAAATAAAAAGCAATTATAATCAAAACATATCAGAGTACATCGAGATGAAATACTACTTTTAGTAAGGAATTATAAGCCGAATAAAATAAAAACACCTGCCCTGAAGATAAGGATAGTGCTGATAGATCAACTTCCAGTTCATTGCGTGCCACGTCCCCCCCCTCCCGCAGAGCAGCATGAAATTGATAAACATATTTCGGAATGATTAGAGAATCAAAGTATTTGCCTTTATCCATTTTTTGCAGCAATTCCACTTTTTGTTTGATGGACATCGAAACATACCTTCGCTTTGCAGATCCTTTGGTAGCTCCAGAATTGGAAATTCTTTTTTCACATAATCGAAAGTTCAAGCTTACTTTTATAAAATTGCTCTAACAGTCTGCAAAAAAATAATAAGCTGGATCCAATTAGAAGTTAAAGGAACAACTCAATTTGCAACATTAATTGAAATAGATAATTAGATAACTTTAGCTTAGCTTATACCGTCCGTTATACATTAAACGCGTATGCGTTAACGTATTATGTGCATGCATTAACGGATTATGCATTGACGCATGTGCAGAAAGTTTGTACCTTTGAGGTCCGGATTACAGATCATTTCAGATTATGGATGTCCGGATTAAAGACTTTTGATTGTAGAGGCATTTTCCCAAGGCTGCTACTGTCACATTTACAGATTTTTACACAGATAATATACTCAAGGGCATAACTACTTTAGAAAAAGCAAAAGAACTTCAATCTGAATAAGTACAAATGCTTTGTTGTGGTGGTATGGAGCTACATAAATGGGCATCCAATCATCCCGAGCTGTTGCATGATATTACCACAAAGGAATATTCCTTTGAGTCTCAAGAAAGTGTAGTGAATATGCTGGGAATGCTCTGGAAACGGAAGGATGATAACTTTATTTTCAAAACAACTGTGAAAAATTCAGACTGTTTTACTAAATATCACGTAATATCTGAAATAGGTATTCCTTTGGGTCTTATCAGGCCCATAGTAATGACAGCAAAAATATCCAAGCAGAGATTACGGTTACACAAACTGGATTGGAATGAGGAATTAACGTTTCTCCTATAAAGCCTGTTACAATTCCAAGTCTTGAACAGTGTAGAGCCGACTTGTGTCAAAGGTAATAACAGCTCTACAACTAATTATAGATGACATTTATCTGTGGTGTGATTCTATTATTGTTTTGGCATGGATAAAACACTCCTGCAGAGAAGCTCAAAACTTCTGTGAGCAATTGAATTGCTGATATTGAAATTTTAAATAACCAATTCAAGTGTGGTCATGTTGCCTCCAAGGAAAATCCAGGGGACATAATATCTCGAGGAGCAAAATGCTAATGAACGTTTGGTTAATTCCTTGTAGTGGTTAGGTCCGGAGTTCCTCAATCAACAACTTTCATTACCAGAATGCATTCCTTATTTTTTGGACAGGGAGAACTAAAACAATGATCAAATCCAGTATTGACTTATGAACATTATGAATAAACATTTTATGGACTTTTTTAAAAAACTTTGCTATAACCTTCATAAACTAATCAAAATTCTCATTTTTATTTTTACATTTATTTTAAATTGTAAATCACAGGACATGATGCAGACATTTTTCACTCTACATGAGAAGCAAAAAACTGAATAGTTTTTTATATGAAAAGCAAAAGTAACTGCCTTTAATTCGGAAATTAAGTTCTTTGACGAGGTAAACCTATTCCTGCTCAGTGTAATTTAGAAGGTTTTAACCCTTTTTATATGATAATTCTCTTAAACTTATGCATTAATTTTAAACACCAGTTAATTTTGCCTTCTAATCGCAGAGTTACCGTAGATATTTTTGAATATTTTCATATTCCAATGTCGACACGTTGAATTGCAAAGTTTACTTCATCAGTTGTGTATGAAATATTAGTCCATTCATGGCAAGGGCTTAGCTCGTAATATTATTCATGCTTGTGTTATTTGTTTTAAAAACAATCAAACTGCAGCAAATCAGATCATGAGTAATCCTCCCACTGAGCGTGAAACTCCAGCTTCCCCCTTTCTCAATTGTGGCATTGACTTTTAGGCATCGTTTCATATTTCATTCAAGGAGCAACACAAGTGCATTTATCCTAAAATTTATGTTGATCCTTTTATATATTTATCCACAAAGGCAAAACATTTGCAGCTCTTAAGTGATTTTGAACGAGAAGAAGGAAAATCTCTTCCATCATTACAGATAATGCTACAAATTTTAAGGGGCTTATACAGAATTAAAGTGTTTTCAAAAATTAAACAGAAACCCAGATGCTATTTCACCTCAGAGTCTATAGCTTAGAAATTACTTCCTCCTAAATAGCCTAATTTTGGTGATTGTGGGGAGCGGGTGTTAAATCATTTAAAGTCACTGTGAGGAAGAATTTCTCACAAACATTACTCAGATTGAAGGGATTTTAAATTCGCCTCCTTTAATCCCTATGTGTAATGCTATTAATGAATATGAAGTTTTAATGCATGGGCATTTTTTTTAGTTAGCCATCCAATCACTTCTATCCCAGAGTCTGAACTTATTGAAATTACTGACACTATCATCAGTAAGAAATGCACTTGCAACAGCGCAATAAATGGCAATTTCAGAAATCCAATTTACAAGCAGGTGCAATGGTTTTGTTTAAGCATGAGAATTTGCCTCCTTGTGACTGGGCCTTAGGCAGAATTTTAGAGATGATCCCTGGTACTGACAGTAACGTATGTGTAGCTAAAATTAAAACTCCTTCAGAAATATTTACTACATCTGTTTTACGCAAACCGGTTTATTGCCAATTTAAGATTCAAGTTTCTACTGAATTTACATATATTTAGAATTAGTTTACACAAGACAAGAATTTAATAATGATTGTTATGCTTAAATAAATTATATAGCTTAATTTGAAATGTCTGTGCACTGTAACACTTTTTATATCAACTTATTGTTTGCATAATTACTGTTTTTAACATTTTTAATGTTCTTAAAAATTTTATAGTTCAGTTTAAGAACCGTAATAGCTTGACTATTATTTATGTGATTATGAATTTTGAAATACTGTAAAATGTCATTAATTAATTAACTGAAATTTTTGTTATCAGGTTTTAATGCCAGGCGGAATGCTCCGTCACAGTTAGAGTATTCCATCTATATAAAAGTTAGAGTATTCTATCATGCAGCACCACACAATGTCACTGGCAAGAACCCTAACCAGTAAGTGATCAGCACACACTCGACTTACACCGAGTCACTTTTCCTCTGCCTAGTCAAAGCCATTTGTTATAATTAAATTGTAATCCTTTTCCCTGTTAAAGTGGCATTATTATGTGTTAAAGAGAATAAACATTAAGTTTTTCAACTTTTATGAAATCATACATAGTCCACAACCACATGCTATCAACATTATGCACATATATGAAGCACATATGATCTCACACCACTACAACATGCACAAGAAACATAAGTACATTGCTAGTTAAAACACTACTCTTAGTATCTAAGCTTCCTAAATAAAAGTTTACGAAAATTAGATATGACAATAGTGCATTATAATAAAAGAGAGCATAAATGTTGATATAAATCTTTTCACAGTTTTATTAAACTAGCATAAAAAGTTAATTACATTAAATTTGTACAAAGCGCAAATCCCATTACATATTAAGGAACAATTTTCTGGCGAAAGCTAAATAAAACTTTTATTAGAATCTGTTATAAAAAGAAAAGGTTTTATTGTACTTGGTTTCCTAAAGGAACAATGATATCATTTTTAAAAGGAGCAAAATATAAAATCAATATATCATTTGATAACAAATGCTGACAATAAGAAACTACAAAAATTAACCTGGATTTAAAAAAATTCATATTTCGATATCTGGTTGAGAAGTTATTAAAATTCACCACTCAAAACTGACTGCTATTTTATCAAGATAGATATAAAGGCAAAAGAAAATTATCACCACCTACAATTAGATGCTTGTTGCTTTTCATTTAATACAATAATATATAAATATAATAATAAATAACATATAATAGACCATATCCCATGCAACTGATAATATTATAACTGAATGATCCTAATTAGAAGCCAGAACAAAAGTTGTAGTAAAAAATTCAAATTATATACAAAGATTTTGAAATAAATTTATTAAATGATAAAAATAATTACTGATTTAACACTAATGAAAAACATAATGAATACTTCAAAAATATAAATCAATAAACACTAATTTATAAGCACAGTAAATCATATTTTGCAAGTGAAGTGAATGGTTTTCATTATCACTAACTTCCTGCAAACACTGCACAATTAAAGGGGATTTTTAAAGCAATGCATCTGCAAAAGTCTAATTCACAATTTTCAAGGAGGGCAAGTATAAAGTTCTACACAACTTATATATTTGACAACAAAGCTGTTAATACCTTAGTTATGGTATTAAATTTTTAACACAAAAAAATCATAGTTAAAATTTAAGAGCATGTAATTAATTATTTTAGTCCTCTGCACCTCAAATGCTTCTCTTTTTCAGCAAATGCTAAACTGCACAAGTTCATGTCAGAATTATCAAATTATTCAACAAAATTGTACAGAAGATTAAAAAAAAAGTGGGGAAGAATTTAAATTAGCAGATTTAATGCACACAAGACTGACACATTTTATGCTTTGAATGCCTTTAGAAAAATAACATTCTACTTATTATAATTTATTAGTATGAAAAACATAATAAATTAAGAACAAAAACAAAAATTTACTTTTCTTAAAACTTTTTCTAAAATACAGATTTAAATTTGTATTTTAGGAAAATTACATACTTGAGCTCTTTTTCTGTAACTTTTTCACCAAGATTTCCTACATATAAAGTAGTTATTGTCTTGTCTTCTGGTGGCTCCAATTTTGGCATAGCTGCTGCTCTCCTTAACAATTTATCAGCAACAGGATCATTTGCCCCATAATATCGATCTTTGATATTCTGATCTGCTAATGGATCATCTGGATCAGTAGGTTTCTCGTGCCTTTGAAAAATAAACATAATACGGTAAATAATACAAAATAAACAATATAATCTTTTATTTTTGCTGTTTACAGCTGAGATTTCTCTAAAATGTAAGCAATATTGCAAAACAAAAAGTACCAATCAACCTCTATGTTTCAACTTAATATTTTTCATATCATTTTCCTATTATAATTTTAAAAAATAGTTCAATAAATTCAAATACAGAAAAAAATCAATTTAAAAAGAATATATACATTACCTGTACGGACATTCTTCACCACGTTTGCATTCACCTTTAACCCAAAAACTACAAATATGAGGTCTATTTCTTTTATAATATGGTGTGGTACGAGCAAGTTTCATTAAGAGATCACTATGGGGTTGAGCTTTCGCCAAAGCTCCAAATGGTTGGGAACCATCAGTATTTGAAACCTTTTTAAAAATCAGTGAAAATTATTAGATACAAATAAACTATAATCAAACTAATATAGTATACAATGTTAGAATGTAACACTCTAGCAAAATAAGGTTTGTTAGGAAGAAGAAGGAAGGGGTAAAAAGGAAAAGACTTAAAAAATCTGTAGAAAATATAAAAGATTTTAGGAACAAGAAAAAGGAAGCACAAGACTGAGCATCAAATTTATACAGGGTCAAACAAAACATAATTTACAAAGTTTATGCAATGGTTTGTCGTGACAAACAATTTTTTACCTAAGAAAGTACTGAAAATAATATGTAGTGAAACTATGACCAGATGCTGCTGAAAGGAAATGTTCACAGGCACACTGGAGAGCAGAAAACAGGATCATTTCAGGCGAGGATGTCGCAGGTGAAGGATGTATCAGTTCAGTTACGAGGAATTGCCTGATATGCATTATGTTTATGGTGCCATCGATGAAAACAGATTTGCCCTAAGATGCATGCCTATTTCTTCCTAAACAGATGTCTGTCAAGTAATCCATTCTTTGGGCAATAGATACCATTGGTCAACAATATACTACATGCACACTTGCCATAAAGGAAGCCATCCTTCAGGAAACTGGGAGGCCACCATCATTCACTAACCTAATCCCCATAGATTTTCAGGAATTTCATGAATCCCTGATACATGAGATATGGGTCTAGGACGTTTCACAATCAAGACATATTTTTCTTTACATGACTGTATTATATCTCATCGTATTAAACTTAGTTTAATAATTCTGTTTACCTTTTGTATATTTAATAAAGGTTGCTTATAATGTATATAGTTGTTAACAAGTATGAGATATGAAGAAATTACACATAGTTAGCTAGAACATTATGTCAGTATCAAAGAGAACTGGGGCTGAACCTCTGATATAACAGAATTTATATTATCGATTTTAAAATTATGCTGGTATAATATTTACATGACTTGTCAAAATTTCTTTAAATTTTAATCGGCTAGTTCAGAGAAATCACTCTGCAAGCAGGAAATTCACATTTTTATGAAATCTGAATTGAAAACTGATTCACTTTGGAATCTTGTCAACACATTACTCACTTAAAATTAATATGCATAATGATATATTTGTACAAAATTGTACATAAAAACATTTTATATAAAATGCTTATAAATCAAATTATCAAACTAAATAAATATGGCAAGATACAATACAGTCATGTAAAGAAAAATATGTCTTGACTGTGAAACGTCCTGATGGTGAAACAGCCCTATGGTGAAATGACCACAGAGAATAGTCCCATTCTCCGAGATACCTGTAACTTCTGACACTGATAAGGATAATGGAAGCAACAGCATGTGTCGGTGATACACCTGGTCAATTCAAATGAATCTGTGAATCTATATGTTGAACTGTGAAGCAACCATTGGGGTGAAAGGAAGAATTTTGAACATTTCCTTTAAACATGATTATTTTATTCATCTGCATAAGTTTTTTTAAAAAAATAAATACATGTTAATGTTGTCACTGATTCCCTTTCTTTGTGTGTCAATCACACTGCTGTAGCACAGCAAAGTTTGATTTTTTGGATACAACTTTCTGTACAAAACTTGTTTGTCTGACAGACCAGCATACATAGTTTGTAAATGACCTTTTGAGGTACCTATATAATCTGGACAATCAAAAAAAAAAAAAAAAAAAAAAAAAAAAAAACATCTTTGAAGTAAAATTCTTTTTCAAAAATTGATTAAATGATTAAAAAAGATTGTTTGTAAACACTGAAAAAAATTTTTTGTTTTTAATGTATGTTAAGCAGACAACTTTTATTATACAATGATTGTATAATAAAAGCTATCTGCTTCATATTGCACATATTATTCTTAACTAAGCTATAAATGGAAATATTTTTAAGATGTATTAGATAATTTTCAAATGAATGAATGTATGTTTCACAATTTTTACAGCAACTGATTTCTCAGGGCGATAAGATGCATTAGATGGATATTTCTAACACTTCTTGATGGTCTAATGTTAAACACTCAGCCAGTATTATGTATCTGCCATGGAAAATGAAACTCATTTCTTTAGTTTTATGTGCAGCTGACTGCCAAGCAGCTTAGCTGCACTTAGCATTTCAATCATGCTGCACAATTTATACTTTACCTGAAGTAGCTTCTGATCAATAACGAACAACAATTTGTTCACGAGCTAACTCGGATTCATAGCTAGAATTATATATTACAAAACAAAAACTCCCCAACAGGAAGGAAGGAAAATCTAAAATCTGATCTCTCACTGAAAACAAAAATTTATATACCACCACATGTAATTTCTAATGACTGATTTGCTCCAACAAATGCTGCTCCTTTATGAAACTTGATTTGATAGTAATGGAGATGCATAAAGTACTTAAAAAGCTTTGAAGTTAATTTTATTTTTCATTTGACCCAAGCACGTTTCAGAAATTTTTAAAACAAGTTTTACATTTTTATTGATTCCTTCTATACACTTGATGTTATTTAAAATTTATTAAAATTTGAAGTCATATTAAACCACATAAACTTTATGTTACAAATTAAAAACTGAAAACAAATAGGAAGAAATAAATTCATTTCCAATATTCAACAAGAAACTGGTCAATAATTATAAGCAATTTATCTTACTTCTCGTTCCATATTCTGAGAATAGTACTCCCGATTGACTTCAGATTTAGGTATCTCATCTTTCAGATTTAGAGCATAATCTCGAACCTGGACAGGCAAACCTAATGAAAAGTAATTATATAAATTTAACATACGATGGAAAAATTACAAAGCTATATAAGCAATGAGCTAGTATTATTCTGTTTGAAATATATTAGAAAATATACATTGATATGAACAATATTACAGGTCATAATATTATTTCAACAAACTATTATGAATTAAGGATGACTCCCATTAAAACTGATTTTTAGAAAATGGTAAACCTGTCCCATAACTTTTTAGGTATTTTCCACTTATTAGAACAATAGTCATAGTCACACATCAATGCCCTAAATGTGACAACTTGTTTATGTCATGGTATGAGTGCAAGAATCAAAGGCTATTTCTTAGCAGCTATGGCAATTGCAATGAGGATAAATATGTTGGGATAGGATAATATGCTGGGATATGAACATATGCAAGTTAATCATAAATACAACTTTACTAATATTGATACCGAATGTCATATACAAACTGTTAGAGAGTTGCCGGCAGTATAATATGATGAAATAAATATATGTAGCATCATGTATGACCATCTAAATTTCTACATAATTGAGTCTACATGGAATTGACTGCACAAGAAGATGCAAATGCTTTCAATAATGTTAAAGAAAATCAGCAGCTTTATGCCTCCTCTGTAATCTAAAATTTTATTAATTTTAATTATTTCTTATTTTTTGTTTAAAATATTGTTTTGTATTTCTTTTGTTTGTAATTTTTTTACTCGCCTTTTTAATCTTTATTAATAAAATAATCATTCTTTTCATGAAGATGTATATATTTAGGGTCATGATATAGTTAGATTTCATGCCAACATTTAAATTCATGAAAAGATACCTTGTTAATTAGAAGCTACAAATTTTAAAATATCACTGCTACCTAACTAATCCTGAAATTTGCTATAACAATTACCATCTACTGCATACATTTTTATTTAACCACGTCTCTTTACACATGAAGAAGGAAAAAGTTACAAAAGACAAAGTTAAGGAAACATTACACATTCATGCCTCCAATTATATAATCATTTTGACAGGTTAAAACGCAGAGAAATTATTTAACTTCCTTCTACTTTAAAAATGATAATGCAAAGCTTAATCCACGATCATCAGTACACTTACTCTGATGCATTTAAGTATCTGATGCTTAGCTCCTAAATATACAAAGCCGTTTGTTTGCTATGGTTAAAAATCAATATCATGAATACTTTCAAACATGAACTACTAAAATTTTAAAATTGATTTTGTTTAACTTTTTGACAATCTAGTAACTTATTCCCATTTAAGACCCTTAAAATGAATGTAAAACGTCCAAGTTACAAGAAGAATGTTCAGATAGTTAACAATTACACAATATTTTGTGTGCTTTATTTTAACTGGCTATATTTATTTCTTTATGCAAAATTTAAAAAATACTTTTCAATGCCAGTGACTAAATAATTTTAAACACATTTACAGAGAAACTACAAAATAAAGTTTTAGCATTTAATACAGTATGCACCACTTAATAATATCACAATCAATCTTATTTGGATATTATAAGTGCGTAACCAAAGTCCCACCTATTTGTATACAAAAGCATGGAGCCACTCTTTGTAAACAACAAATCAGTTATTACATTCAAAATAATATAGAATAGATTTTTAACTGAAACAGAGTTCTGAAATAAAGTCAAAATATAAAACAGCAATTATGAAATGACAAATAGTCACAAAGTAACATATTAAGAGCCATACACCTTGAGTTTGATTAGGTCAATTGGATGCAAGGAAACCCACTTTCTAAGATTTACAAACATCAAAATTACTATTATTAAAATGCTTGTACTCGTATGTAATGCAAGTACTTACGTGTTGCTCTAGATTTATATCAAATTATTCAAATTCCATTGATATTTTGAAAAATATTTTTTGTCACTGTTTAATGCTATCAAAGTATATGCGGACAAACATAATTATGTTACGTGATGTCTATTATAATTTTGTACTGGATAAAGCAGACCTAACAGTTATGCACCATGAAATATTAATACCTAATATTTCCATAAAAACTTTACACCTAAAGGCAAGGAACGTTTTTTATTTAAATCACAAATGCATAAACAATATAATACAGTACAAAGTATGAGATTTGGACTTGAGAGGACTTCAGTAATACCAGATTTGGGATTTTTTCAGATATTAGATAATCAGTTTATATAAGACCACACTTAAAAATTAAAGTTATTTAATTTTTCAGAGTTTTCACAGTGATTCCTTTTAAAAGATTCAAACCATTATTCCTTTAGCGATTTTGAGGCAAAATACTGCATTGTCGCAGAAAACTTTACCAATTTTTTCTATTACAGGACAACCCCACAAGCACGAATTTTAAAATCTTTTAAGAAAATAATGATCATAATTTTTCTATAAAGGCCACTAGGACTTGCAATACATCAAAAGGAACACAAATGAAAATGGTGACGTTAGAAACTAAATATCTGTCATACACATGGTTGCCGAATAACCATTATGTGCATGATAAAGAGTATGGTGCATTCTGAAACGTTGGTGACTTCTTCTAAGATAGTTGAGATAATATGTAAGTACCCAAAAAATGATTGCTGGTGATTTGGAGGTCCTGATTTTAATTATTCCAGATATTGGACGTCCGAATATCAGACTTTGTACTGTAATTGGATTTTTTGCTTTATAAAACAAATTGCATTTAGAAAACTCTCATAAAACATGCTTTCATAAAATTATGTAATTTATTTAGAGATAATCTGCATTTAAAATTACATACCATTTTTAAATACCTTGCAAATACTTGATGCAGATCATCACAATATATATTTTTTTGTTCACCTAATTTTCTTTCAAACTGAGAAAATGTGCATAAATTAATTGCTTAAGTCAGGACTTAATTTCTAAAGTTAGAAGTGCCGGAGCCCTATGCAAGAGCGTCAGGAAAAAGAAACAAGAGTAAATAAATAAAATGGCCATTAAAATCATTAATAATTTAAAAATTAAATACTTATTTATTATCAGATTAATTAATAATTATTAATATTAATAATCAGTATTTGTATTGTTATTTAATTACAACTTATTAATAAGTTAATTAATAATTAGTAATTAAAATTAAATTACAGAGATAAATTAATAAGTGATTTTAATACTAAATTAAAATTTTCGAGATCAGATTTCTATTGAAACTGTTGTTCGGTTACACAGAAGTGCCGGAGCCTTCTTATTTAGGGCTCCGGTGCGCTCCGTCTAGAATTATGATTTATTCCCAAAAACTAAGAAATACTGGAGCCAGGATCTGGTGGGCTCCAGTGCAATTTAAGCTCTGGCTTAAGTAAATAATGGTAAAAATGGAAAATGAAATTTCAAACATTATCAAGGGGAATTTCCCAATTCAAAGCGCATGAACATTTTGAAGAATAGCCCAATAGCCATTTCTGAATTTTTTAGCATTTTAAAACTTTATAACCTTGTTATTCCAGGCTAGTTACCTTGAAGAATTTTACATGACAATCTTACATAAAAACTTATTCCCAGTTTTTCAGATAAATTGGTGAACTTTACAAAAACGTTTTAACTTTATTTCTAGCTACTGAAGTTTTCAGAATATTTTTAAAAGTTCACTTTAAAAAAAGCTTTCAATCAAGAGACTATACATACCTTTATGTTATCTTTTTGCAAGCAATGCATACATTATATGATCGTATTCCATTTTCATCATAATTATTAAAGATAAAAGATTGTTGGAAAATGTTGCAAATGTTATATTTTGTAAAAAAAAAAAATCACAAAAAATGCCATTTATTGTAATCATTGGCCCTATCTGTAAATGTCCTTCTTAATTTTGATTCACTTTACTACCAAAAACACACACCAGGTTCTTTCCATTACCTTGAGAACGTTACCATGTCTAAGCACAACTGTTATCATAAAGGGATATGAGTAATTTTGTGAAAGAATCTGAAACAGATGGATTAATAATGTTTTGCAAAGTTTGTGAAAAACTAATTTAAGCTGAGGAGCATCATTTTATAACAGAGCATTTAAATATGATAAACACAAATTTGAAATTAACAAGAAGTGCAATGCCAATAAAACAATAGAACTTTCACTAGTTTCCATAGCAGCTATGATATCCCAGTCAGTTTCTGTTTGATTTGCATTAGCCAACATTCCACTTTAGAAAACGTAAAATTCATTTTAGAAAAGACTTTAAGAAACTTACATGAAACAAGAAATTTCTGCAAATCTACCTTAAGCAGGGCATAACTAAATATTACATACATTAATGAAGGCAAAAATATCCAAAAATGTGGTTGAAAACAGAATACATTCTCATTTTTATTGATGAAACAACTAATACTGTGGATAGATTTATATATAACATTATAACTGAAACCATACACCCTAGGAAAATATTTGAAAAAAATTCTCCCAAAAATTTGATTTAAGACACAAAAATTCTAAATAAGGTAAGTGGATATTTCCTTTGTGCAGTGCTAAGATGAATTTCCTTTTTTATGTTATTTCATTATTTGATTTGAAATGTAGTTTACCGAGATTATATAATTTTGTTGGCTGCTCCTTTGAGTTTTTAAATGAATATAGATTGATGTGTACATGGACAAAGGCAGTGCGCAATGCCTATTTTGTGCAATTCTCTGATTTTGTTTAAGTGAAAATAGGTCGATATGTACATGGATACCGAGTTTGTGCAATTCTTTGATTTGTTATTTTGGGTTTCTGTAGTGGCGACTTTTTAAAAATCGCCACTACGCGAAGCCAAAATAAGTCAAAGAACTACACAAACCCAGTGTCCATATACCAACAAAAATTTAAAAGAGGCACTTGTAAATATATTTTTACCACATAATTGATATTGCTACGAATTTACATTTTTGATGTTTTAAATATGATCTTTTCTTATTGATAGATGCAGAATGATAATTTTCTTACCCTAAATGCAGCTTTACAAATAAACAACATAATCTGTCAGTGTAGAATTTGGAG